TCTTATTCAATTCATTGTAGCATCATTGAAGAAATGTAAGAATCTTTCATTTAAGCCAACAATATCCACCAATGCCACTTTTCTTAATACTTTGCTTTTTGCTTCTCTGGGAAGATTTCTGTATCCCAGTAAGCTCGGAGTGCTTGATCAAACTTTCAGTAGCTTTACATTTACTTGCTGTGTTATTTTAATTGATCTCGGTTTATAGTTTGTGCTGTTTCAGTGTTATTAGCTACCTTAAAGACTCAAAATGAAAACACAGAACAAGAACACATATACTGTAACGAACAATTCACCCATCACTCTTGAAGGACAATGTAATTTCAGCAAGTGCTCTTAGTGCTTTTTCTGCTTCTTTCAACTGGAGATAAAAATCCAGGCAGGAGGAAAAGTATCTCATCTTCTATTATTTAGCCCAGTGGTATACATTTGTTTTGTTCGAAAACTAAAAGTCAAGTCAGCCACTACATTTGTTCATGTAGAATTTGTAATTTGGCTCACATCAGTGAATTTATCCCATCACTGCTTAGTCTCTGCAGTTTTGGTATACTACATCATGTATGTTAAAACCTTCTGAATATAATTTAATAAATAAATGCTCTTGTATAAATTCATGTTTATTAACTCCTAAAACAAATACCATTAGTCCAATGCCCTTAATATATTCGACCATTTCATACAGTATATGTTACTGTAGTTTATACAGCACTATTTTATTCCATAGATCTCAGTGGAGATCAGAGGAGAGTTGAGGGACAAAGAAGGGATCTCTAAAAGAAGGCCATGCTTCCTCAGATGCACCAGGCTAGAATTCTTTTAAGGATTTTTCTGAGCTGCAACATTAACAATACCAATATTAGGAAATGAAAATTTCTTTAAAAAACAAGATTTTAGAGAATTGCCCGATACATTGTTTTAAAAAAATATGTCTTAATTTGAAAAAAAAATTGCAGAATTTTGCATCCAGAAATGTAGCCATCCACTCACAGGAATGGGGAAAAAATAAGACAGCTTTTCTCTTTGTCATCAGTTTTCTTCTCATTCTAAGTCTTGTCTTTGTTCCGCTTCCAATTTAAGCAAGTGATGAGTGTTCTTCTTACCTCTGAGTAAGTGCAGGAATTAGTAGGGTTATGGTGGAAATACCACTCTAAATACCCAGGTTGACCAAGAAAAAAAAATTCAGAATAAATGTGAAAAAGCCAAAAGTCTGAGTAGCTACTCTTCTGTTGAATCAGATTCAGATCAATATTAACAGAAACTAGGCACATATCTATGTAGTTTAAGAACATTTTTATTAAGTGAACTTCCTGATACCAAAAAGAGCAGGACATGAGCAGCAGGCTTTAAAATATTTACTGAGTGTCAGATGCAAGTCTAAGTGTAGGTCTGTAAAGGTCTACTATCAAAGCACAGTTTCCAGAAACTCTATAGTCTATTCAGGTAATGGGGTGGTGGTGGACATGCAACATAATAAAAATCTAATCCTTTTTATAGAAGTAACCAATACAAAAAAAAACATTGAATTGCTACCAACAGCTATCAAGTCCATACATTTGGCTGTTGGCCTGTGTGTCTCTACATAGACACCACACAACAGATGCCTATGAATTGGATGCAGAGGAACTAGATTATTCAACCTGAATTTTCTCTTCAGATGAATGGGAGCGGGGACGGGTCACAGCTGTTTTATAAAAGAAAACCATTTTCTATCATTCTGTGCTCAACTTGGGCAGATGGGTGCCTTCAAAGCTGGTAAAAATGGAAATATCTATTGCCTCTCTAGTTCAGACTTTTCAGTCCAAGCCAAAGTGGGGGAGGGTCTCATTGAAGCAAAATAATGAATCATGCCATCCATAAATGTACGTATAGCTGAAAATAGAAAGGAACACTAGTACCAAAAGAATTTTTGTTCCTCTTTAGCATGAGTAACTGCAAAGAGGAAAATCCCGAGGCCATGTTTCCTGATACAGACAGAAGGGAAAGCAAACGAGAGTATTCAAACCTGGGGAGATTTAACAGAAGCCAAAAATTGCTATCTAATAAAACTCTGGGAGCAACGGAGCACTTGCCTTATTGGCAAATATGTCACTTAGTCCTCTTAATGTTTCAAGAAAGTTTGGATTAATTTATTGTCAGTGTATAGTAATTTCATATATTTCTTTGTTCAAGAGTAAAGCTCAGTATATTGTATAGTCAATAAAGTGCAGATTCTATACGTGGCTTCAAGAAGATTCACATATATGCTTTAACAAGCTAATCTTGTTCTAGCTATAACATTTATGGACTGTCCCATCCTGGAGATCTATCAGGTTGCTAAAAATCAACACCAATCTGATGGCACATAAATAAATCAAAAAAGTTTCAGCAGTAATACACCTGTAACACAAAATTAGAGACACTCATATTTCAAAAATTTGAGCTTTTTCCATTTAGGTCACTTGCCTTGGTCTTCTGAAATCTAATGTTTGCAAATTGTACACAATTTTCTTATGCAGTCTCCATCAAATATGGAAAAGGTGATTAATTTGAGTTCTCATATGGGAACAAGCCAGTATCAACTAAAATAAGTAGTTTACAAGACATAACAGGGAATTGCAGTTGCTTCAGAGGAAGTAATTGTTCTAGTCTTGTCACTTTATAATCTGAAGAGGAAAGCACATGGATTCAAAGCTTGCTGCAGTTTTGGAAGCAGGAAATAAAAAAGGTATGAGTGTTTGTCAACATCTCACTGTTCACGCTTAGATTTGAATCCAAATACTGCTATGAATGGAAATCTATCTCTTAGAACTTAATATATGGACCTAAGGTATCAAAGTAATACTTAGCAGAGATGTGCTAAAAACTGTTCCAGGTCAACTTGAATTGTGATGATGATGATGATGATGATGATAATACAGAGTTGGAAGGGACCTTGGAAGTCTTCTAGTCCAACCCCCTGCTCAGGCAGGAAACCCTATACTATTTCAGACAAATGGCTGTCCAGTCCCTTCTTAAAAACTTCCAGAGTTGGAGCATTCACAACTTCTGGAGGCAGGTTGTTCATATCCTTAAACCTAGCATTAAAAATCTGAAAGACTTGTGTCTTTCAAAATTTAGTCCCTCTACTTTATAGTACAAAAATTACACAATCCAGTTTGAAAATACAAATTTGTAATCTGTAGCATTTTATATTAGCAATTAGGGATTATGTAAACTCTCACATTCTTTTCCCCAAGCATGAAATGAATTGTTCTGTTCATACCAGAAGTGTACCATGTTCTAAATACTTCCCATATGGAGATAACATTTCTGGTAAGATGGGAATAGCTGTTTCAAATTTAAAATATTTTGCACAGCACTAGTCCAGATCTATTACTTGGTTTTGGCTTAGGATGTTACATAAATCCAGCCGACTGCAATTTATTTAACAAATCATGGTTTAGAATAAAGAACAAGTCCACTCATGTATGATAAGATTAGATGGTACAATTTTCTTAATAAAACCAAAGTATTTACATTTTCTTATTCATTTTTATTCTTTTTCTAACCAAGCTTTTCTTCTACATATTTCATGAACTGTACTTGAAGAACAATTCAAAATAAAAGTGGATAATTGGTTTAGATTCTTAGCTAGTATCTAATAAATAATTTGGAATTAATTTACATGTTTTAGTTTCTATCTGAGGACTCATCTTAGTTTCAAAATTGAACATGAAGTATGATAAATGATGAGTTTAAGGATATAATCCAATATTAATTAATTAGAATAAATGAGACTTGTTCTGAGAATTGCAACATAAAAAAATCCCTTCTGCAACGTCCACAGACCTTTCTTAGCTTCTAACATGTAGGCCACAATTTTCATGGTATCATGAAAGAGTTCCATCACTAGGAAATGTAACGACCTTTTCAGAAGAATATTTTATATATTATATTATTATCATTTAGTACTTTTGCTGGGGAGGGGGAGAAAAAAGAAAAATTAAATATCCTTTATGAGCTATGTCAGACCTGATATCTTTTCTCTTGTGCTTTTTTGGTAGCTCTTTCTCTCTTCAGCCACTGTCTTCTATAATTTCCCCCATTCTCATTATGGGAATATCCTTCCCCTCTCTATTTTTGTAAGTGTTCTACCTGTAAATACCAATAAAGACTTTCAATAAAAATATACCCAATTCTTTTAAAAATGTATTGAAAATAAAGCATCAACTTTTGTATTTGGCATTAAAAACATCCCTCACATTACAGAGTTAAATACCCAATACAAACTATAAACTGAAATGAAAAGACCCTAGACATGGTAATGTTTTGCTGGAATTGTGAGGGTTTATATGAAAACAAGTTTCCTTATTTTCTATGGATTTTGATTCAACAGTCTCTCCAATTTAGGACTTCAAGAATTCTGGTATGTACATAGCACTACAGAGCACTCTGTTTAAAAAAGGAAAAACATCTAATTTCTTTCCTTCAGCAAACAGGATGGGGTTCTATTGTATTTTCAGCTATTTTCCATCTATTTCCAACAGAAAATATCTGAATTTCATCCTCTGGGGAAACCCATATTGCATGTACAGATCTCACATCAACATTCAAGCAACACGGTAAGATTCTTAAGCAGTTAGGAAAATGGTAAGTAAGAATAAATGATTCAGCTTCTCACTAAAAAAGTATTTACACAGCAGATATGATGAAGACATCAACAGATGATTTTAGCTCAGACAAATTCAAAAGATGAATTCATGCTATTTACAAAGCACTTAACTGCTCCCACCACAGTTAATGGAGACACATAAGTGCTGAATTCACAATAACATTAATTCTACCACAATCCCCCTTTATAAGAACTCAACTTTTTAATCTTACCGAACAACTGGAGATGTTCATTAAAATAAAAAAAAACAAAACATCCAACACAAGAGAAGCATGCCTGTGATTTTATTATTACCTCCATTGTAGTGGAATGTATACAATTCACAAATCCTATTTAAAATCATGCATATTTCATTTGCATATAAACTACNAAAGCCACCAATTCTGTTTGTTCTCCACAATCAAGTAAAACACATTAATCAAAGGCCACTATTGTTTAAAATTAGAAATACTTTCAAAAAAGTACATCAAAGCACTCCCTTGAAAATCATACTACAGAACACCACAATCACATTTACTCTTCACAATTACTTTAGAACTATTGTTGCACTATAATCTATGGTGAACAAAAAAAATCAGGCAATTTATTCTTAAACTTTAACTACAATTATAATTTCAAACATGCAGTCACAAATACAGCATTCCTGAAGACAAAATCATTTAAAACCAGCAAAAGAACTGAGTTTTAATATTTCAATTTCAGCAATTTAAACATCAATACTTTTTAAAGTCACAGAACTGAATAGTATAAAATCATAGGTATCAGATTTGAAGACCTCTAGCCATTTCTTTTATTTGATAATTAAAAATGTTAAATTGGTACGTTGATTCTTACACAGATGTACAATATTCATTTTTATTTCAGCATCACTTTTCAACATGCAGACCAAAACACGTACACTTGCCCTAGAAAAATTGAACACCATCTTTACCTGATAAATGGCGGCTCATTTATGCTGGCCATTATTCAACTAATTTTCATTATATCACGTATTTTTTCTATTCTAAACCATGAGATTTGAACTGGATTCTAACCCTTTTTTTTTTTTTATGAAAATAGCAACATGAGCAGAGAAGCAAGCTGTAGACTGGAATGATAAAGAAATGTGTAAATCTGATGAGGAACTAAGAAAAGGAAGCTGTATAAAATAAAAAGAAAAATAAATAAATCAGACAGAGGCAATGTTGTAACTTGGATTACTTTCAAAGAATACTCTCTCTCTCTTCTCCAAAGCCTGCAGCATCAGAACCAGTAACAGTAAGAAGCTCAGAAGAATCTTGTGAAAGCCTTGAATAACTTGAACGCTGACTACGCTTATGGGTCACACCTTTAATATTATCATTCTGAACTGCAACTGAGTTAGAACTCGATCCAGGACACAGAATGATTTGAGAAGGTTCTATGATACCGTCAGTCTCCTCAAAATTCTGATTGGGTCTATTGGTTGGTGCACTATTATTATTCAGGGTGACTGTGCTAGGCGTTCGATTTAAATTGTAGACTTTTTGACACGCTGGCCAATTCTCTTCCGGACTGCTTGCTATTAAGCTGCTGTCTGAAGGACTTTTCTTATCTTCTGAACAAATTGACATACGTGCGATTGTTGGATCTTGAAGGCCACTCAAGCTATGGGGAATTCCCCTTTTTCCACTGCGGCCATCATCTTCCAGCTCAATGAGATTTGCTTTTTCAAGCTGTGAGTCATCTCCATCATTATGGAGAGAATGATTTGGAGAGCTTTCGTTGGATCTTACTCCAGAATCAGAGGAATCCTTTTTGTCTAGAAGGGCATCTGTCAAATATTCTTTTGCTTTAATCAAGGTTCTGATGGGCTCAGAGCCATGTTCTGGAGATTTGGACTGTTTCTCTACTTTTCCTTCTATTTTCCGGTCTTTACCTTCCTTGAGGAGAGGTGTATTATCAGATTCTTCTGTTCCAGACTCATCTTCATCACTTGGAAGTTTTTGATAACGAAGAGCTACCCCTTTCAACTTCAGATCTGCAGCTTGGAAAATGCTAGTTCTTTCTGAAGATTTCTTCCCAGAAAGAAGCTTGGATACAGACTGATCTGATTTTTCATCTTCTTCAGTAATGGGATCCAATGGAGATGCATCATTAGTAGATACCGAACTACTATAATCTACAACATCATTCCGCTTAATCAAGAAGGATTTCCTTCCATCATCTTGTTTCTGTTCAGCATCCTTTCCCTTATCTTGTTCCATACTGGAATGAAGAGAACCTGTGGATGTGCTCTGGCCCATATAAAATGCTGCTGAACTATGTGGTGAAGATCTACCACTCACTGTACTAGAACTTGCACCTCCTTCTAACTGTGACATTTGAGCAATATATTCTCTATATGCATCTCTATATTCTGCTTGTACCTTATCAGTAAGCTTTGAAATTTCAATACTAGAATCTTGAGAATTGAGGCTTGAAAGACTTGGAGTCCGGCGGGCTTGTGACTGTTTAAAGACAAAGAAAATATATTAAAATACTGTCTGGGTCTATATCCGTAACACATCTAAATAGGCACAAATGAATAAAATTAAACCTGAAAAAAGTTATGAATAAAAACTGCTTGATGTTTCAGAAAAGGGGCACTATGTCAATAGTACAACATATAACTAGCATGTGCTGAGATTGTTCCATGAGGGTAGGAAATTCATTTATCATATAAATGGTTCCATGAAGAGCTGGAAGTTTTATATTTCTCAGTTTAAGTTCCTAACTTTATTTAGAATAAAGGAGGAAAATGTATCAATTTTCTGTTAAAACCAACAGCCTTTCCGAAAACAACACGTTTTGTATTAGGAAAAGGTAAATGTGTCCAGAAAAGTGTATATATAACTCTTGTGTAACTGGAATGGAATATACAACTGCATAATTACAATTGTACTTCCAGAACCTGAATTAGAAATAAATGCAGTAACTTTTACTTTTTATAGATATTATTGAAGTGCAACATATGCACTTTTTGTTTTTAAGCAGTTTTACTCTTGTATATGAATAATAGGTATGATTAAAACAGAAGATATTGACTAAATTATATCCAATCTGAAGTGAAATTACCTGCCAGCTTAGATTGCTATGACGTGGAGGGGCTTCCTCTAGGCCAATATTGTTCAGCTCTTCAAAGCTAAAATTGAGAGTATAAGGAGGTTGACCTGGAAGACCAGTAAGTTCTGTATGGGGCAATTCATTGTTTAGAGTTGGACGTCGAGTGAGATCATTATGAGGAATTGTGTTGGCATGCTCATTCACTGTTCGAGTATCTTCATGGACAACTTGACTTTCTGCATTTCTCATATCAAGCACCTAACATAAGAAATAAAGATATTAGACTGCAGGTTGAACATAACAGCACAACTAAAACATGGGCCTTATTTTATTAAAGAACTATGAAGCACACTCCCTGTGACAATGTTGATGTTTTACATGATTCACTCAGTCTAAAGCAGCATTTCCCAACCTCGGAAACTTCAGCTCCAGCAATGGCTCTACTGACTGGGGAATTTAGGCAATTAAAGTCTACATATCTAGTTGGGAGTTGGGAAACACTGTTTTAAAGCACATTCAGATGCACTTGCAAGGAGTTGTTTGGATCTCATCTTGTATTTGCATACAAATTTCACAATGAGGCAAGCTAAAACACATATTATTTATGCAAGGCCTAACCTTGAATATTTAATATACCCAAATAGTTTAAATGCATATTTTAATCACACAGACTCCATAAATAACAATTATTTAATAAATATCAAGCACCCCTTTCTTATCCCCTTCCTCCTATAGAAACCTAATCTTGTATTCCTGTTGATGGCACTGAAGCAAACAACTGTGCAAGGATGTAAAGACTCCAGCCTGATGGAAAGCAATGTTTCCAGGCAGAGTCCTGCCACTTTAAATATGAAACTACAAATTGTGTAGAAATTAACAAAAATGGGTTAAGGTAAAATAAACCATTCTTAGAATGAAATCTTATGCAAATATGACTTTGAATTTCACTGAAACCAAGTATGTGATATGCTTCAGAGTAAATATGTGCAGAAAGGTAAACATAATTTCCACTGCCCAGCATTCCTAATTATTAATGCTAATATTTTATGTAATAATAGTCTTACTGCACTCCTGAAGAGATGCCAGTCTCCAAAATTCATGTTCATCTCACGTTTTAGTTCATCAATGTTACACTGTGCTAAAACACGACCATTTATATTAGCCTAAACAAATTATAGAAACACAACATAGGTATTATTTACAAATGGTAGTAGAATAGTAAACTTTAATCATTTCAAAAGTAATTCATGTATAAGTGTATCTATAATATTACAAGGATAGTGTATGTTATTCTTGGTTGAAACTAAAAAATGACAATATAAGTATTTTTAATAAAAAGAATAAGTCATAATTCAATTACAGAATAAAAGTAAAAGGGGGAGCTATTAAAAACAGAAATCAGGATTATATTTCAAAGGAAAATATGATCATAATAAACTTTAGGATACATTATATAATGTATTTATTATAATCATAATCAATTTTAGAAAGTTTCTGTGTTATACATTTATATTATGAGTAATGTCCAGTCTTCATTGTGAGTCTGTCTAAAACTAGGTTATAAATTGACAGCATAGCTACTGCAGAAGGTTATCCCCCCCATACGCGCACACCCCAAAATGTGTCAGATTTTTTTTTAAAAGGTCAAATTGAATTAAAGTCTTTTCTAGGAGATTGACAAAAGTTTCAGACACAATATTTCAAAATTGCAAATTTCGACTGATTTGGGAACTGAGAGGAGGACTACAGGAAGAAGCACTTATTCCTCTTACAGTGTCCATTTTGTTGGGAGATTGAAACAATTGTGTGATGTACAAATGAGCCTGCAAGCTAAAGATTGCAAGCTATCCTAAATATTACGCTATCAGCGTTTTTATTAAGATTTTATCCACAATCGTGGATATTTGATCCAGGATTAATCAGAGTTAACTGTTGGGATGACTTGGGATAGAAAAGAAGCCATAATAAATTTTCTACAAGTTGAATACAACAATAGTATGTTAACAGAGGGCTTTTATATTTTACTTTTGCCTTTTGTTTGTTTGCTTTTCTACCTGTTAACTATTTGTCCATGAATACAGTAGATAGATAACAGGTTAATAATTTGTAAGCAGAATTAGAAGTTTGAAAAAAAATGGGACCTGTTTCGCAAGGGGTAGGAAACTAATACTATTGTAATATATTTATCAATATTCAACTGGGGAGGGTAATATGTATACATGTGTTTGTGTTTTTTTAATACACCTTTTTAATGTTTTGTTTGCTTTTTTGGCTGTTTGTTTGCTTCTGCCCCCCCTTTTTGGGGGAGTTTTGTATTTTAACTTTTAAATAAAATAAACATCATTTGGGAAAAAAAACATTAAATTCAATCATTGAAGTTGCTGATTCCTCACTTAGGAGAACGGCAGGTCCACTGCCAAGACTTGCCTATTTTCAAATACAAAAAAAGAAAAAGAAACTCTTCCCCAAAGGGACATTAATATTAATACACTAACCCCCATCTTTAAAACAAAAAACCTCAAACCCACTTAACACATATACTTTATTTTAAATACAATTTACTCTTCTATAGTCTTTTCTATCCTTAATTCATTAATGGTATTTTGACAGTAAGACAAGTTTAGTTTAATATATTCTCTGCATAGCCACTCTAATTACTGAAAGGTAATTTTCATTTTTTATTCCCCAGCAGATTTTTACAGACTAGGGTTAAGAGGCCCCATTTATGCATGCAGAGACATACCTTCTTTATAGTTGCAGAATACTGAGCCAGCATAGTCTGATCTAGTCCTTCTATTTGCTTCAGTTTCTCACACACAGCATCTACACTCATTGAGCTCAAAGGAACATGGGATGCTCCTGATCCAGGGACTGTCCCCTATGCAAAGGAGAAGTGCAATATGCAATAGGTTTAAACGCTTATTGTGATGCCTTTGCAAACAGCTAACATGTTTTGAGTCACTATTAACAGTATCAGGAATTGGGAATACTGACGTACCATCAGAGGACTCGCGGACTGAAGTATACACCGTGATATAGTGACACAGGCAAGAACGTTCCCTGAAGGTTCTTATAAGATGGAAAATGAATTTTGAAAGAAATAACCCCTAGCACAAAAATAAGGAAAACCTTGATGACCTCTCCAATGTATTCTACACTTTCAGTACCTACTTCATTCACAGAAGAACCTAATGGATGGAGCACACTGTTCAAAAGAAAAATAATGGGCTAGGTTTAAAATATGTAAATTTGTCTCGAAGGTACCTGCCAGTTTTAGAATATAATAAAAGGTGAAGTAGCCCTGGAATCAGATATTGGCTTAATCTGCATACATTTAAGTCAGTTAAAAAGGAGAAGGAGTATCATTTCTGTATAGACATGTAATATAACGATAATGCCGTATATGAGCTTGTCATATTTTTATTATGCATGTAATATGTTTTTCATTGTGTATGTACCAAAGCCTAGCAGGCTGCATTCGCTCTCTATATTCCAAATAGACAAAGTTTTTTTAAAGAAGAGTAGAAACTACCTCACTCAAATTGAATAATAATCTCTGACTTAACAACTAAGTTGCTATTTTCATGAACCCATAAATCCTAGTAAAAGCTAATATAGTTAATAAAAAGCTGTAACTGGGAAAACTGTATTCTCAATTGCCTCATATTTTTTCTGAATGCATTCCTGAGACTATTATATGCAACTGATTTTCAAGATCAGCTGGCAGATTTGACTGAAAAAAAACCAAAGTCACTGAAACCAATGTTATGGTACCAAAAACAAGTACTAGAAAAAAGTGTGAAAAATGGTGGACAATTCTGTCTGAGTCAAATCAGAAATAAAACAAAGGGGGCGGGCACTACTACAAATGCTTGCTTTCTCATTTAATGAAATTCAAGATTCTCAGAAGCTGAAAGGTCTCTCTCTAGTGACAATAAAAAAATGCCTGGCTAATATGGCCCACTTTTATATACTCTAGGTTCTAGAACAGGGGTCCCCAACCCCGGGTCCGTGGATCAGTACCGGTCCATCCACACAAGGAAAGCCCCATCCACAGGATGCAGGCAGCACACAAAACCACACCTCCTCCAGTCCGTGGAAAAATCTCTCTCCACGTAACCGGTCCATGGTGCCCAAAAGGTTGGGGACCTCTGTTCTAGAATACTATTCAAAATACATTTCTACAAGATGTTGCATTCATCCCTTCAAATCCCAAAGACAGATGAGGAGCAATAAGTATCAATTATTTACAATTGTCTACGTAAGTGTTTATTTAAAAGATTAAATTGATAATTTCATGCAGGGTATCATCAATGCAACACTAGCAAATGGATTTCTTTTAATTGTCAAATACCATACCTTTTTCATAATCTATTTGCATTGATAATCTGATCAGATGTAGAAAAAAAGATTGAACATGCTACTATCCTTTAAAATTAAAACTAAGATGATTTTAAACGAGCAGGCAGCTTTACATTTATAAAGTTCAATGGAATAAAAGAAACCCTTCTACATATGTATTAAATAGTACAGTCTGAAGGATTTCCACATGTATTGGTCAATATGTAGGAGCAGAAATCAAACAGGTCTGTATAATCAGTCTACATAGTTCACAATTTCAGAAAAGAGTTTTTGTTTTTTAGTACAAAAGTCAGTATTTGTATAAAACATAAAGTTAGCTGTATTAGCACAACCACATTAAATAAAGTCTATATTATATCTCTGCTGAGGAATGCATCTAATTTGAACTGTTTCAAATTCAAATTAATCTGCTTCTCATCTAAAAGCGTTGTTTTGAGTTGAAAGCAGGCTGTTTCCATCATTTTGGATGTCTGTAAGAGGCAAGCAGCTGTTTCAAACCCATGTTAACTTCAAAATTGTCAAAACATTCGATTTTGAACTTGAAACACTAAAATTTCAAACATTTTGCACACATCTACTACATTTTTCAAGCACACTGTATGGAGAATTCTGTTTTTGTGATTTTAACTGCATTCCAATCATACTAATATTTATATCATGAAAGAAAAGGAAAAACTCTCAAAATATAAAACAATACTGATGCTAATAATTATTGACCAAAATAGTTTCTTCATGCAGTGTAAGACAACATTGGAAAATTTACATTTAACAAATTCTCTCTATGTGTATTCACACTATGACAGAGATTCACTGGAATCCAACACACTTATTTTCTAAGAAAAGCAGTAAAAAGCAGTATAAGTGGATCTTAGAGATAACATATGAGTGTTACAATTATACAAACATTCTTTTCTCAGCTACAGTGTTTTTCAAATGTGCTGAGAGAGCAGAATTCTGCTAAGTTTTGTCATGCAAAACCTAAGAAGCAGGACATCAAAAGCAAGCCCCCAAAAGTGCATTAGTGTAGACAGCCAGCATGACATTCCATCATGATAACAGAAAAACACGTGACCATTGTGTAGGAAGTTGCTGTACCTGTCTTTGTCTTTTAAACCCAGTTTTACACAGCTTTAAAACAAAAACAAAAGAGGGCACAACTTAACACAACGAGTAAGGCAGTACCTATAAAAAAATAAGCTAGGACAGTTATTTAAATTTCCTCTTTGAAGTGGTAAAAAAGCACCTGCTAAAAATGAATGTATTCCAATTAAAATGCCCTGATCCAAGAACTATATAACTAGATCCTCATAGACTCTCCTCATAGATCCTCATAGATAATTTTGGGTCCCATGTCTATGAAAATTGTTGGGTTTTCAAAAAGAGTTGTCTCACTTAATGTTCTGCAGTTCAAAATAAGGTAAAATCTGACTACAGGGTCATAAGCCCTTTTATGCAGATAAGAATTCAACTACAAATTAATATCTTGCTTTCCTAAGTTAATATCCTAATATACTATTTTTTATAGAATAGTGGCTTGTTGGAATAAAAGGTCTAATTGGAGACTATACATAAGACTAGAGAAGTATTTCAAAGTCTTACCACAGCAGATCTGTTTTCTCTACTAATAAGAATAGGAGTAGTTGAAATCAAAACAATGGGCAGATTTTAATATTTTAATCAAACAGGCGAAAATAGCTTTAAACATTTAGGATTGGCCGCTGGTTTGGGAGGGGCTATTTTTAAGTAATTATCACCCTTTTGTAATGTCATGTAATGGAATGTGAGAATGACTTGGAAGAGAGGCAGCCAAGGGAATAGTCAGATAATAGGCAATTTATCCTGCAGAAATGTGTGAAGGGAGGGGGCAAGTAGCTCACGGGGGGGGGGCTTCTTTATAGCCCAAGAAAAGGGACCCAGAAAGGAGGAGGAATAAATCTATTTTCAGATGTACAAGATTGATGTCAGCCTTGTAAGAGAGACCAGGTAGGAAATACGACCAGATGAGCTAACCCTACTTTACTGAAAGGTTACATTAACAGAATCTTGCAAGTTGGAAAGTGCATCTCCTCCCCCCCCCCTTCCCTTTACAGCCCAAGAAACAAGACAAGGTTCCTTCTGAACTGCTTGCCCCACCCTTATTCCTCCTGCAGGCTAAGATACCTTTTATCTTTCTATTCTCTTGGCTGCAGTCTCTTCCTCCTGTCTCCCAAGTTCATTCCCACATACTACAGGTAGCCCTCGACTTACAATTCGCTTAGTGATTGTTTGAAGTTACAACGGCACTGAAAAAAGTGACTTATGACCATTTTTCACACTTATGATCTTTGCAGTATCCCCATGGTCACGTGATTTATATTTGGATGCTTGACAGCTGAGTCATAATATGATGGTTGCAGTGTCCCGGGGTCACATGATCCTCTTTTGCGACCTTCTGACAAGCAACGTCAATGGGGAAGTCAGATTCACTTAACAACCATGTTACTAACTTAACAACTGCAGTGGTCCACTTAACAAATGTGGCAAGAACAGTCATAAAATGGTCATAAAAAACTCATTTAACAAAATTTCTCACTTAGCAACAGAAATGTTGGGCTCAGTTGTGGACGTTAAGTTGAGGACTACCTGTATTACCTCTTTAAAATAGGTTCCCTCTTCTCATTACACTGGCATCCAGTGTGGTACTTCTTCTTGCATTACTTTCACCCCCCTTCCCTTCCTAATGCTAACAAAGGAGAGGTAATGTGAGAATGATTGAAATATGAAAATGAAGAACCAAGTAATTTTATAAATGGGATATTTTATTTTACAGGCAATGTGTTTAATGGACAGGTCCATTGACTGTAATAGAGAACCTATCTAAAATGTACTTTGCAGGCAATTAATTGTAATTTGTAGTTATAGATTCAATTTCATTTTTGCCCTTTTTTAGAATATGGCTTCTGGCTGATGTACATGCACGTATGTACATGTACAAACGCATAGGCAAACATCTGGGAGATGGGAGAGAATTTCCAAGATTGGTTTCTGCTTAAACTCAGGTTGACAAAGTCGGAAGATGGGCAACAAACACAATTTTTTATTTTGTATGACTATCCGTTCCTTTTTCCTTTTAGGAGGGAAGTCATTTTAAATTTAGTAATTTTCATGTAAACACAGTAAAATTCATGGTTCCAAAAAATGTGAAACTTTTCATGTTATATAGACATTTAAAATGGCTGAGTTCATATTGCAAGCATGAAATGCAGTTCACGTAGCATAATATTTCAGAGCAACTATGCCTTTCCCATTACTTTTTATTATAGAAATAGATTGTTTTGAAGAGTTGATGCATCAACTACATCTTAGTTGAAGGCAAAGGGGGGCAATAGAGTTCCTAGTGATTCAGCTTATTATCTCAAACAATCATTTCTGCAGGACTTATTATAACAAAATGTTTTGTGCATGTTACGTGCACAATGAAAATAAGCCAAAAAGATAATACCATGCCTCTTTTTGTATTGTGCTTCTACTTGAAAAACATTCAATTTCTAATAAAGAATAAATGCTTTACTTTCACACAGCGCTAACCTTTTTAGGCACTCCTGCCTTAATTTTTGTTTCTCCTCCACCTATTTTGATAATAAAATTAGATACCACTGTCCTTTTTCTAAGGAAAAAATATAGGAGAAATATATCTAATAAACCTAATTTATTCCCGTTTCCTGTTACTAACATTGATAAGCTATATGGTTTTGCAATAAGAAAAGGAACCTATCAATAAAGGAGAATATTTTTTCATGTATGGTGGACTTGTAGAGAAGCACAGGTGTACTGGCGTATGGTCTGGGAATGGGCAATAGAAATGACTAGGCAAAACATCCAATACAAACCTGAGACATTACTATTAGGAATACTAGAGAAAAATGTAAATCAAGAGGACACATATTTAATTATCCATGTGGTTACAGCGGCAAGGATACTATTTGCTCAAATGTGGAAGGCAATGGAAGCACCGAGTGGGGAAGCACTAATAAAGAAAATTATGTATTGCGCAGAACTAGATAGGATAACTAAAAGATTAAAAAATCAGGAAGAAACAGAATTTTATCGAATATGGAATAAATTTTATAGATGGAGGGGGAAAAAATGGAGGTCACAGTAAAGAGATACGTTGAGATAGAGACTAGTTGTGTATAGATATATTATATGTAATTAATGTACAATATGGACTGAGATGTCAGTCAAAGACGATTTACCATGTTTAATGTTTTTAATCCTTTTTTTCTCTTTGTACTCAATAAAAACCTATAAATAAATAAATAAATAAATGAATGAATGAATGAATGAATGAATGAATGAATGAATGAATGAATGAATGAGAATATTTGTAGCTCAGGGTTGAAATGAGGAAACCTTGATGCTCCCTGAGCTTGGTTGTTTGCTTGAAGAGTTTCATTATCCAAACCAAGTAACATCATCAGTGCTAGAGTAGCACTGGAGACGTTACCTAGTTTGGGTAATGAAACATCTGCAAGGAAATAACCAAGCTCAGAAAGCACCGAGGATCCCTCAAAGGAACCTAGGATTTGCTGCCATTAGAACTTGCAAGCACATACTTCAGGTTATTTAAAATCTACAGTATTTCCTATATACATGCAAAGCCCATTAATAATACCTTACAAGTTTAAATAAAAGTCCATGCCTCCTTCACAAAGCAGACAAATGATTTTACTCACATTTTGTCAAATTATCATTTGGAACAAAATGCTTACATCAAATGGGTTGATCCCTTGGCTTAAAATATTAAAGAATACAATTCACAGTACATTTCTTTTAGCACTATCAGCTCATCTAAGAGGTGGAGCTCTTCTCAATAGAAATGAACTGTCTTCCATTATACTGATAGCAATATGGCTGTATGTCACTACAGTATACACAAAAATGTGTGTGGTGTCCATCTTCTTAATGCTTGATTATGCAGTAGCATGACCTTCTGTACAGGTACAAATCGATTAAAATGCAGTGTTATAGTGGTTTTCCCCATCCTAAAGCATAATAATCCTTTTTTTTTGTTACTTGTTCATAAGAGTCCCGGTAATGCAGCAGTCCAAAAGGCTAAATCTGCTGCCGAATGAACAGTAGGCGAACCAGGAGATGGTACAGACTAGGATATGTCTCTGAAACGTACTGGCTAACAATCCAACAGAGACTCATAATCAGCATTGCAGTGAGCATAGTAGAGAGGGATTACAGCAGGATATAATCGTTTTCTCTGAAGCGTTTGCAAAGTAGTAAAAGACTACTGTCTTTTTATAACAGGAATATTTAACGTAGGACTATAAAATCAAAATCATGTTTAAAAAAACACAGGCTAAAATCAACAGAAGGATGGTCAATCATTTTTTGCAGGTAACGTCAAGGGTGTAGTTACGAACAGCTACAAAGAGCAGATTTCAAATCAATATTTTTTAGAACTGATGGACATATGGGAAGTAAAACTCATATTTAATATAACCTATGGAAACATTTGTAAAGCACAGTGTGACAATAATATAAATATGTGAAGCCAGCCTTCTGTGCAAGCTCAGCAGGAGTATATTTCATCATTACTACTGTCTAAAATCAGCTTTGTTGTTTGTCAACTGCAGCAACTTCATGTCTGGGTATAACTGAGAAAGCACAATTTTTATTTGACCAAATCATTTAGAGAAGGCATCAGCTAATCACTTCTACAGAACTGAATAGCTAATACAATTTTATTTTACAGTATGATGGTGTGTCATGGTACATGTAAACTGCCCAGAGTGTTAGAAGCTCAACAGTATACAAATTGCTTGACAACATAAATCTAAATATATTTAATACGTTTTATGAACTGAAAAAAAAACCTTACTAATGAAGCTGTAACACATTTTACATTACTAAAAATAACTGTTCTTGACAGACTACTGAAAGATAGCATGGAAAATGTAAATAATATATTCTATAAGCAGGATATTAGCCAATTCATTCACAAACTATGCTTATTAGTCTTCATCTATACTATTTGTCCATCAAGCCACTGATGCAGTTAGTGAACGGTAGTTATAATTAAAGCAAATTCATTACTGTTGAAGAAGCAATGAGATGCTACAGTTCCACACCACATGACTACTCTTTTACCATTGAGAGCTCTGTGGGTGACGGAAGCCACTCATCAACATCCTCCTTGATAATATCCTAACAACAACAACAAACCATTATGACTTGGACAAAATGTTGACACACACACAAACATAAAAATAAAAATAAACAATGGATGAAGAGGTATCAAAGAATGTATCATTCCGTACACAGAATATTTTTAAGCCAGGGTTAAAAATAGAACAGCTATATCTATCACTTTATTTGTTTTTATTTTCTCCTCTTCTCTCTCTTTCCTATATTCATGTTCAATTCTCCATTTAACTTTTTAGTTTAATAATAAACCACAACTTTCTATTATATCTGTCTGAATTGGAGAAAACCATGTTTTGTGCAAGCCACTATTTGTCTATAAATAAGTGAAGAAGAGGGGAGACATGTGATCAAAATGTCATGTCCGTGTTAGAAAGAATATCTCTTCCCAAAGAAAGATGTCTGTCACCTGTGGTCCTCAAGCCTTGAGGTGATTACCTCCGATTTTGATCAATTTTAAAGCAAAGCATAAATGCATAATTTCACTCTAAAATTATTTTTCCTAATATTTCTTATTTCTTTCTGAACAACAGTTGCTTCAATATGAGTTCCTGTGAAAGAAAAAATTTCCTCTGAGTCTTGTTGACTCCTCATGACTTCCTTGAATTGTAGCTTCCTTGTCAATAGTGTGTGTGTGTGGGGGGGGGGGAAATAACTTGGCACTGTCTTCTTCTGGGATGTTTTTAATCTCTACTCTAGCCTACATTCTGGGATGCCCTGGTGATCTTCCATCCAAGTACCGGTAGTACTATTCAGGTCTGATCTTGCTTAATTTCGGAGCCTAGCCAGGGACAAGCTGCTGAGATAAGTTGCTGTTAAAAGATTTTAAATGTACCAAAGTACGGCACAATTATGAAAATGTGTGTAAGCCTCAATTTTTAACCTGACATGAAATTAGAATTCTGCTTCAACCAAACTAGAAATAAACTTCACTATCTGATTTTAAATATAATATACTCAACTATTTATCTTTACAGTTACTAATTTACTTACGCTAACCTAAAGGTAAGCCTTTCTTTTCTTATGTTAAAAATACATCAATTTTAGTATAGCAAATAAACCTAATATACAAATGTTTTAAAAGTGGAACAGGATACATTGTCTTAACTTTTATTTTAAGTGTTCCAATAATATTTCTAAAGAAAATAATTTAGGCATACATGTGCCACAATTAAACATATCTATTCTTGTATTACTTACTAATCTTATCATGTAAATTAATATGTTCATTTACTTTACAAGATACTTACTAGACCATTGCTTTGCTCCCTGGACAAATTCGGTTTTAGTGATGGACGGGAGGTGAGATGAGAACTGCCAGGGTAATACCTTGGCATGTAAACATATGGGGCAAAGAATGGCTATGGAAAGAAACATGTAACAAAAAGGGACCATTACAAAAATCAAAAGAACGTAATTCAACAAATGCTAATTTAAAAATGTAAAACAAAGGTTTAGTTTTTTGGGTAATTAGGCAGTCATATTTTGAAATGATCAAAATGTGAAATAACTAGTTACCTACCCCATTTGAAATCAACAGGAAAGTTTCATATAGGTTCAATGACAGACAAACATTAAAATAATGAAACATTTTTATAATGAATGATAACATATTCATAGCTTCAATGGAAAACTTTTAATACAGTTTAGAACTGCTAAAAAAGTAATACAATAATATAAATCACTTTTGTTCCTTTCCAATGGTAGCATTATTTCTAGAAGCAAATCTGACTGAAACCATGGTTAAGTATTTTGGAATCATTTCAGAAGATCTTTTATAAAGTGAGAATCCATGCAATAATTTTTATATCAATTTCAGAACTGTATCTCATTTCCTATTGGATAAAAATCTGCTCACATTGTATACCCCTTTAAAATTAACCCATCTTGGAAATTATTATCTGGACTTACATAGTAAAATACCTGAATTTAAAAGTGTGATACTATAGATATTATCTCTCAGTAAGCCTTCTTGGTCCTACAAGACTGCAGCTTTAATTTTAGAGTGCATCAGAAGTTGAATTAGATTCCATTAGAATACAAACTGATAAAAAATGAATTTGCATATATTCACTGCATCTCAATGCTGAAATACAAATAAACATTTTGTCCATGCATAAAACTTTTCAGAGAATAAGCAATCAACCCAGGAAGTCCTTCAATTCATCAAAATGAAAACGTAATACATGGTATGCCCAAAAGATAAACTTGTGAGATAAAACCAAAAGCTATAGAGACTTCTTAGGCTGACTGTTTACACCTTGAAAAGGGGCAATGGGCAGTTATATGCTTATTAATATTTAGTTCATTTTAATTGGGCACCTGAATTGTTCAAACTAATAACTTTATTCAATCCATTTTTCAAAGATGTTTAATATATTACACAGACAACATGCTGAGTTTTTGAGAAAGCTCATGACACTTAAACAAGTACCATGAGTCTATCATTATATACATGGATAGTTTAATAATCACTTTAACCTAAGCTTGACTTTAAGATAAAGAGGGCTTCTTTTCTGCAGGGCTAATTAAATCTGCAAATCTTAAACTTCTGTTCATTTAACTACCTATTGATAATATGAAAATATTAATTTCTACACATACTTGCACTATGGCACTATTTATCAAATACAATCAGTAGATGTCTATCGTGACTGCCTTTCTTCTGCTAAGATATCAGATTTCTAATCAGGTATGACACCCAAACTAAATAAACCTCAGTGCAAATTTTAAACTACTATTGTTTCTTACTCTGTTATAAAAAGGATGCTGAGGTCCTGTCATTCCACTGTAGTAGCTGCTATGGGGCTGTGGCGATACAACTCCTCCATTGAAAGGTCCATTAAAAGAATGGGTTGAAGAGCAGGCTGATGATGGCTGACTAAATACTGATGATGCTCTGGGAGCCGCATCTTGTATAGGCATTGCAGGATATGGAATTGCTGCAATATTAATTTGGTCTCTTGCAGCCCGGACATCTGCAATATTCAATGCACCAGTGTAATTGTCAGAACAGTTACAGCTAATCAACTGATAAACGCAAAGTGAAAGAATGGATTAATCTGAAATCAAATTTCTCGCATTCTATTTTTAAAATATAAAACTAAAACAAAATGATGGAATTCCTGAAAAATTACAGTTAACAGTTTTTAGGTACAAATAGACACATGATCTTTTTTGTTTTATTGCTTAATACCATGGAGATCCTTAAGAGGAATCTTTTACTTGAGAAAACCCACAGTCAATTTCTTTACAATTTTTTTTTCTACATTATCAGTATGTAAGATTTTACATAGTAACTACTAGGGTTACATGAACTACATGCAAGTATGAGATCCCAGTTGCTTCACAAAGTAACTGATGCATCTCTCCAAAGTGAACAGTAAATAATAGGAGATAAGAAAACAACCAAAATGTAAGATACCTACACCATTAATTATTGGAAGGATAACTGCAAATAATGATTACATATAGATTTTCTCTGATATATTTCAGCAAGTTTGGGGAACTTAGAAAAAGTGTTTTGTTGGTAATATTAAAATCATTTATTGTGTAATTAATTGGTGATATATTACCTGCAATAATTTCTCGCAGTTTGGGATCAAGATTCACTGTACATGGTAAAAACGTTTTTACATCTCGTGCTATAAGGACTGGAGTTCGTGATGACAAAAATACTTCAAAATTTCGAATATCACCATCAATTTCTAGTAAAGGTTCAACATCTTTAGTTGTTGGAATATTCTTTGAAATTCTAAAGAAAGCAAAGGAAGTTCCAGATTAGAAACCCTTGTCTAATATGTTTTACACATATATGGAGTGTTTTAAATCTGGCTAAAGAAGTTCATTTCAGAATTCTTGTTTTCCTGTCCTGATATTTTAAAAATTATATTTGAAATTATAAACAACTGTACATGTAAAACCAAGTTATCTATAAATTGAAACTATAAACAGAGTAAAAAAAAATCTACATCATCTATGCAATCATGGCTAAAATTGGTACAAATATAATTAAGTCAGAGAACAAAGAGTTAAATGTGTCAACCATCTGATTTTTGTCAAACAAGAGTCCAAAAAGAAAAGGAGCTAAAGACTTTAAATGAAAAACCACAGCTGAGAAGTCACATGAAGCAAATTAGCTGAATTTTAATGCCAGCTCTGCTTAAAACTGAATGTGAATAGTGTTCTGCGTATGTCAAACAATGCTTCTGTTCAGAAGCCAATAGCCTACGGATGGTTTATACATCAAAAACTCTATTCTAACCTTTTGAGTTTAATACATTAAGCTATTCTGCTAAAAAATATTAATGTAAATTATGAAGTTTTTTTTTTTAAAAAAAGGCCACTTCTGGGGAAAAAAGTACTACACTCAACCAAAAGATACTTATAAAGGGATTTAGAGCTGACCTTGGAAAAATATGAGTAAGCTCTTAAGGGAGAAAGGAAGAAACCATTAAGGAGGACTTGGAGAGATTACACAGTCCAGAGCTTGAAGAAAACATGAGAAAGAAACTCAAAATAACTCTACCTTGGTTTTGTTTAATATAATATGGGGCATAATGAGACCTGAATAACTTTTCAAGAGTCTATTAATATATACTACAACCACAAAGTACCATTCCTAGAATTCCTGTAGTGTCAAGGGTGAAATTTCAGGTAACCAAGTGTATCATGGAAAGGTGAGTACAAATTCATCCCAAAACTTTAATGATGTCATCAAAGTAGCACAAAATGAAAATATGAATGGGCAAGATATGTCGTATGCAAGCATAACATAGAGGAGCCTGAAAAATGACATACTTGTGGCCCTGCAATTTTAGAGGCTTGCAAGATCCTATGAGATGGAGAGAGAAAAAACAGAAAAACTATGGACCCAGCTGAAACACTAGCAATGGCTATATGTAACACAAATACTTGATATTGTTGCTTCAGGGAGTGAATCTTCATGAATGAATACAACTGAACTACTTAAGTATTTACCAACCTCAAACTTCTGAGAATAAAAAAAAATAAGAATAGAAGAAAATTATGAACTTCATACAAGATGAACTTGTATGCAGTGTCTGAAAACTGTCTAAATAGAAGACCAAGATAATGCCCCACCTATAACCCCGATTATTGGACAGTTATGGATATATTCCATCACATCAAATGCACACTACAACCTGCAAAACCCTACCAAAAAGGCTTGAAATGTCTTGATACATTTGACAGGTCAAAGGTAGTCACTGTAGGGAAACACGGAATTAAATTTAACTGAGGCTATAGGATATTCATCTGCTGCAGAGTTTCCATAACGGTTGAAGAAACTCTATAGTCAATTATCAAATATTGAAAATAAAAGAGTGGGCCTAAAGCCATGGGTAAATTAAGAATGCTAGTTACTGCAAAGTAAAAAACTAGATATCAGGAGACTAAAAGGAAAGATTAAGGATATGCTGAAATAAAATAAGTAAAACGCATTTTGTGCTATACTGTTCAGAAAAAAGTGTTATCGATATTGAAGTCCATTTTAGAAATTCTGTAAATACAATATGGCACAAAAATTAAGTAAATTAGATAGTTGTCAGAATATCTGCAAGATAGGAATTAATGTGAGAAATGTTATACCACTAAAGAATACTAGAATATAAAAAGAAGAAAGAGTAAAATAGCCCTCCTGTATTATATTGTACTGTATAATGCATTGCATTGCATTAAATATACATATACATACATACACACATGCATATTATTTCTGGTGGCCAAATTAAGCAATTAGTGAAAACTGGCTATGTTGGATCTACTTGAGGAAGAGACAGTGATGAACAAAAAAAGAAATTAAAAAGTATACATCCAAATATCAGTGTCTCAATGTTCAGACACAGAGTATAATTTCAACATAACAAATGGGACAGCAAATCAGAGTTTTAAATAAAAGCAGCAAGAGGCCTTCTATTTTTATGCCAGGACAAAGTAATACAATGTGACCCACAAGAAACAAAGTTGAGGCTTAGACCCTCAGAAATGCTGCAGCAAGAACTGAACTAAGCAGCTCATGCTAAAAACGCTTAAATATGATTGAGTTGATGCTGTTCACCATGGAGAAAAGAATCAAATTTGTGAGTTACTGATCACCAATGTGAGAAACCGATTACAGGAGTCAGGAAATATTTGGCTGCAGTTACTGCAGCTAAAGGTGGTACAAACAGTTACTGAGACTGAGGGATGATTATTTCTCCACACTGGCATGCTGCATAATTGGATTACTTTTTAATGAGATTAAATGAAGCAAGCTTCTAACTCACTTTATATATCACGAGAATTCAAACATTCAGTGGCAAAGACATGCAAAAAATGGCGAATAGTTTTTCACTGAATTGTACATATAGTTTGGAATTATATTGTTTTACTATGAAGTAACTTGAGGGCAAGGAGCAAAAACAAAAATAAGATTAAGAAAAAAATTGCCCTCAGGTTTTATATCAGGTTATAAAATGTGGCACATATGAATAAACTTCATTAAATCTCCCTACTCGTTAAATAATTGTCCCTGAGAGTATTTCTCAATAGAAAATAAGTAAATAATCCAAAATTCCAACCAGTTTAGGTTGTGTCCACACTGTTTAAATCATATCAAAATTATTTTAATAAAATTCATGCACTTTCCGATATCTCAATAATTAAACAGAAAACTGATTAAGTTATCTAAAAAAAATAGAAAACCACTACTACCATCTACTGGAAAGCAACTCATGATATCTTGTCCATATGTTCTCTTTTTTAAAAGGTATGCTAAAAATCTAAAAAAAAATTACATAGTTGCATAATTATTACATTTCTAAACACAACACTGCAAATTAGAGAAAAATACTTACATTTTCATTTCAGCGTTTTCTGTTATATATACATTAACAACAACAGTAAAAAAAATAATCTGGGACAAAAGCTTTTAACTGAACACATAATTGCAGCAAAATTACAATAATTGTCCCAATTAAAGTAACCCTAAATGAATAGTTTGTCATCTTAATGTTCCAATAGTTTATATAAGGAACAACTTAATTAAATGAAATTGCTTTCTAATGTTAGTATCCAGTGTCATTTGTTAAAAGTTGAACAATTTACAAAATAATTTAACAAAAGCAACTTCACTAAACACCAAGAACCAACATTCTTTTTTATAGATGAATAAGGCATATATATGTATCCTCAAATTACTGTAAAAATGAGGCTTTTGTGGAAAAATGAACTTTAAATCTGGTGCTAAAAATTCTTCTGATCTTGTACTGATTTATATTTAATAAAAGTGATATATTTAGGCTATCCCTTATTATTGTAATCCCTTTTCAAATTATAATAAAGCAACAGGATCCATTTGAATTAGAAATATTACAATTTAAAACCTTATTCAATAGCTAACAGAACATAAGAAACATGTATAAAAACAGCAAGTGCCTTTTTTGGTTGACACGCACATGCATACACACACACACACACACACACACACACACACACACAAAAACTTATAGATATATGTATCCTGTCTTTCAGGATCAAACTTTCTGAAAGCCAATTAAAAATAAAGGAGCAAACCACAAATCCAAACAGTTTAATACTAATTTTGTAATGGAAACATAAAAAATGATAAATATATTAAAATGTGCCTCTGAAGTCATTTTCTTGATAAATTACATGGCAAACATCTTAAGGTTGCACCAAACGTCTTAATGAATACATTGTTATTGTGAAAGCAACAATCAACAACTTCTCTAAAGTTGCTCACATTGGTCAATCTGGCTTACTTCAAGTGGGTGTTTGTTTTCAACATCAAGAATAGTGATGTCACCTAAGAGTTAATTATGTGATATTATTAAGAAGCCAACATTTTCACAGAGTTTCAAGCTTCTTATGACAAAAATAAATCACATAGAAATATTCATTTCATAAGGGTCAAAGGATGGGTTCATAAACAGCTCCTTCCTCAATTTTGGCTTAGCCCTAAATTCATCAAGATGGACTTCTACTATTTCACTTATGCTGATAAAGAGAAAAATAACAGAATGTCCCAGTACCAAATTCAGATTATTACAAACAGAAATAATGCAAATACAGTACAAACTTTTAGTTAGCCAGTAACCTGATACTGTCCTGAAGCTCTGCATTCCAAAATATTTTTGTAGATTTTTATTTTCCAAACATGGTGCTATTGTTACAACATTAAAATAGATCTGTGGAGCTACAATCAAATTCTTAGTCAGCCATGAAGCTTATTGGGTGACACTGAGCCAAAATTTTATCTCTCAGCCTAACCACTAACATGTGAATATATTCTACCGCAGTTTCTTGGATAAAAGGCAGAACATAAATAAATAAAATAAAAATCTGTGAAATGAAAACATGAAAACACCAACTGCTTCCACTGCTCAGAATCTCAAAACCTTAAATGTCATGCAGATAAATGTAGATGACATTTAAATGTTTGGTAAATGAAATAGTGTCTCATGTATTCCTTAACTGTTCATGAAATATGATGGGTAACAAAAGCCATAGTAATCCAGCAACATAAAATTAACGTATTAGCCATCTGTTAACTAAATCACACGCCTCAAAAGTTATCTCAAAACTGACGAATCTTCTAATGTAACCATTGGGCATCAGTAATCACTCAGTGGGACAGAATGCCACAGACAGCTTGCTGTTTGAATCTAACCCAGAATAGGGAAACAGCCCAGAATGGTCCCCAAATTATAAATGAACTTGTTTCACCTTAAGATTTTCAATTTGTGGTTTCCTTGAGTTGTGACACTGAATCTGCATAAGACACGTCTGTCAGCATCAATATTTGTTCAGTAAACTGTTTTTAAAGATACACATATTGAACCGAATTATACATTAACTGCTGGAGATGGAGAAAATATTACAATTCCATATAGAAAGGACTGTATTTCAGAGATAAGTGATTTAGTAATTTTGAGAAAATTGTATCTTTTCTATTAATCACACAATGTCACATTTTCCCTCTCTTTGGGGAAAAAATTGCACAGGCTTGGGGAACATTGAAAGTTTAGTTTCCTATTTTAAAGACTTACAAATCAGGTGAACTTGGGATAGATATGCAGTTACAGATTCTTTGTTTTTTTATGTGTTTATGTATTATTCATTTTTCCTTCTTTGGTGATTGTTCATTTTTATTTTATGTATTTTTGTTTGAAATGGATTAATAAAAACCATTCAAATATTTTTTAAAAAATAAGTTTCAGATTAATCTGAGATTAACCACACACTTTCTATCAAACTTGTAACAGTATTACATGCAAGGCTTCTTAATAAAAATAACCAATTATAGTACTGCCATCTACTGGAAGAAGAAAACTAGTTACAGTATTTAAAAGATACATGGGATACTGATTATTCATATTTATTTTAAAGTAAGTTTCTTTCAACTCAATGGAATCTTCTGAACAGATATGAACTGGACCGTACAGTATCTGTATATCTGTATTACAAAAGGCCCCACTTAAAATGACAGTTTCCCAGAAGTGAAAGTAATGCAATTAATTCCTATCACAAAAGAGCAAATACTATTAGTTTCATTTTGGAAACCTGTTTTAATAGCTCTGTAACTGATGCATCTACCACATTATTATTTTCTTAACCTGTCAACTTTTTTTTTTACCTCTGCTAGAGAAAAAAACCAAGCTCCATCTAAAGCTATCTCCTTTTGCAGAACGAGAACTGTTAGCCACCAAAATAATTAAGAAAATCCTGTTTCTTTCAGTAGAAAACTCGTGTTAATGACACATAAATTGCTTGAGCCAACTGAAAATTAATTTTGAGTATATAAATCAAGAAGAAATTGCCTGATCAATTTTTATAAAGTTGGTATAAATATGACAATCTGTCTATCTTACCTTCTGAAGCTATAACAACAATTTTCACTGTTAATTCTAAGAAAAATTTATGTGTGATTGTAGAGGCCAGCATGTACTACTAGATAATTTGATATAAAATATAACAAAATGTCAACTAAATTACTGCTATCCAAATATGGTATCAATACATTTAAATGAAATAATCTGTATAAACAGGCATTTTTCAAGCTTTGCCAGTTGAGTCATACTAAATATTAAATGTGTGTTTTTTAATTTAAAGTGAAGACACAAAGTGTATAAAATTATACATGGTATGGAGAAAGTAAATAAATGATATTCTTTCTTTTCTACTATACCAGAATCTAGTCAATTGATGAAATTGACTAATGACAACAGAGAAAAGAAAGAGCTCCAAAAAGCAATAGTTAAAAGACTTAATAAGAGTTGCCAATCTGGGCAACATTTTATTGGGTCCAGATATCAATGGCTATCAGCATGATTTTATGTGTTGATATCAGTAGCAATATGACTTTTAATACCACTTCCTAGCTAATAGAGCCTGGAAGGTTCTCCTGTACCAATATAAGGTTCTTCTGATAAAAAGGACTACATAAGCCTTAGTTTTATTCAGCATAAGTACTTTTTAAATTCTTAACACATAACACAAATCAGTCGATCCTAAAGCAAATCAACCCTGATTGTTCTTTGGAAGGAGAGGTTACTGAAGCTGAAGCTCAAATTCTTTGGCCACTAAATGAGAAGAGAGAAATCATTGGACAAGACTCTGATGTTAGGAACGATTGAGAGTAAAAGGAGAAAGGGACGGCAGAGGATGAGATGGTTAGATAGTGTCATCAATGCAATTTGGGCAAACTCCGGGAGACGGTGGAAGAGGGGGGCTTGGCATGCTATGGTCCATGGGATCCCAAAGAATGGAATATGACTTAGCAACTGAACAACAACAATGCATAACACATTTTAAAAGAAATTAAAAATAATTCTGGATCTGAATTTGTTAAGCAAATTCTAAGATTTAGAAAGTTACTAGGCGAAGGCACACATTTTGACATGAACCATGTACCGTGTTTCCCCGAAAATAAGACTGACCCCGATTTTTAGACGTGTGCCCAATATAAGCTCTACCCCAAAAATAATCCTTACTTAACACCCCGCCTACTCCATTGCACCTGGTTGCTTGAGGCGGGGCGAGGCACACAGGTAAAAATCAAGCTAGGGCGGGGATGGGGAGTGGAACTGCTCCCTGCGCCCCGCACCCACTTACTTTAGGACAGTTGCAGCCAGGCCTCCCATGCCCCGACATCTACCTTGCCTCACTGGCCCTCTTCTTCTGCCACCGCTCGCGCGCGTCACCTTTCCGGAAGGCCTCTGATGGTGAAACGGAAGCTTGGGGGTACCATGTGCATCAATCCAGAGCTCATTTCTCAGCTGCAGAGGCCTTTCTAGAAGGCCTCTGACAGCAAAACTGAAGCCAGGGGGCACCATGCGTGTCAATCTGGAGCTCGTTTCTCGGCTGCAGAGGCCTTTCCGGAAGGCCTCTGACAGCAAAACGGAGGCCAGGGACGACATGCACAAGCAGTGGCAAGCGATTGCAGAAGAAGAGGGCTGGTGAGGCAAATATCAGGGCGTGGGAGGTCTGGCTGTGGCAGTCCTAAGGTAAGCAGGTAAGATATCCCCCCAAAATAAGACCTGGTGCCTCTTTTGAAGGCAAAAAATATATAAGACCGGGTCCTATTTTTGGAGAAATGCTTTTTCCAGGATGCATGATTTCTGGCCCACTATCAAGGAGAAACACCTCTTTCCAAGAGCATTTAAAAAAAACAAAATATTGCTCTTTCATTTGACAAAACTATACATTTGGATTAAATCTTAGCTTTACTTCATTTTTATTTTATTTTATTTTAGTATTTTAATCCCACATTTATTACATTATAAGTAACCCAAGGCAGGGAACTTTCTCCTTCTATTTTCCCCACAACAAGCCTGCAAAGTGAGTTGGGTTGAGAGAGAATGAATGGTCAAAAGTCACCCACCCAGCTTCAGTGCCTGAGGGACTACAACTCAGAGTCTCCTGGTTTCTAGGCCAGCACCTTAACTATTAAACCAAAGTGGATCTCCATATTTGGATTAGCCAGTAGAGACACTTGTTGTTATTAAATGTTGACTTCCTAACTATTCATAACAGATTTCATAGTAAAAACCACATTTACCTCTCATAGATTGTTTTTAAAGTTAGTTGATCTGGAACACCTTCTGTTTCTTCCAAATACAATATAAGCCAGGATGTTCTGTATGGCCATTGCTCTGTCAAATTGATCCAGCTTGCCAATCTATCCCAATTGAAAGTGATCTGATTAGCTCTCAATAAACGTCCTATAGAGTTGAAAAAGTTATATGTTTAGCACTATGGTTCACATTCCTACAATATCAACATAGTACAAAATTTCCTAAAAAGAATCACATCTCAGCTTCCAAGCCATTATATGCTCTTCTGAATTAACTGCATATTCTAACATATGAAAGTATGTTAGTATAAAAATATGACTGACTGTGTGAATATCAATAAGGAATTTTATTTTACATTATTCATAACCACTAACAATCTAAGTAGTGAAATTTCATAAGAGATTTGTCATCCCAACTATACCCTTGAACTATAATTCTAATGGATTTGTTTAACAATCCAAAGATTTTTAAAATGTGGGAATAAATATTTCTGCATATTGTTTCCAAAATGTAATGCAATCTCCAAATGTTGCATTTTGTACCTGATACTTTTTCATTCAGATCCATGCTTCCACCGATGAAATAGTTTCACTGGAAAAGGGAGAAACTATTTCTTCTGAGCACATACAGTACATACCCCCCCATTTTCTACTGCAGCCTGATATCCTTCTGAAAGGGCAGATGTGCAAGGAGTCCAGAAGAAAGTGACAACTATCTTCTTCCTCTCTCTTCAAATGGAGAGAGCTTTTATTTATTCCATAAATAAACTTTCATTCACAGAAAGGAGAATTTGTTATCTAGGTTATTTTCGCAATAATTTAAAAGGCTGCTTGTCGAACAAATAAAAAAAATTCATAGGAATTCTGTGTTGTTTTCATTTGACTTCAATTGATAAGAGAAAAGCCTGATATTCTTAACTAAGGAACAATTACACCAATTGTGCAGTACTCTTTAAACAAAAGTATATTCCGCCACCACAATGCTACCACATTTTGGAAGGTCTGTAAGACAGAAGTATTATTTGCACATTTCTAATTTTAAATTTTCACGTGAATAGTTCCTAATTCGTGTAATTTTTAGTATTCCTTAATTTCATTACAAGGTGCAAAAAGATTAGAAACAAACTATGTGCCTATTCTCCAATACTACACTGGCAAACAGCTTTCAGGACGAAGACCAAGATTATAAATGTTAGGCACTGGTAAGTAAACATACCTGTCACAGAAACAATATTAAGCAATCGCCTCATTGTCTGTGGGCTAATATCACTGAACCAGTCTTCTGTAACCAACAGCTTGGTCAGATCAAAAGACATCTGACGTGTAATGGTACGCTGCATTTGCCTTCTTCTGTAGGTATCCTAATTTTAAAAAAAAATGGTGTACTTATAATATTTTCATTTACAGTGTGCCAGGCATATGGATTTTGGTTTTTTTTTCAAATCTCAGAAGCCCTTTAAACCTTTTCATTACTTCTGAGATGTTACTGAACTTATTACTAGAGCTCTATATAATTAAACACTGCTTTATTCCGAATGCTTTGATTGGAATTTGCCTTATCAGACGTTCACCTACAATGCAGCATAGAAATGTATTAAATAATATCGCATTGAGTCAGATTAAGATCCCAAGGATCACTTTCAAGTAGTAATTTGCATAAGTACAGAAGCCTTTTTCCCCCTACCCAGCAGGAAATAAAAGTTGTCAATAAAGTTTTAAGAGATACCATTTCCTCGCTTGCATGCCAAATCTGTAGAAACACTCATCTTGGAGAGTTTTCATCACATCTAAGTTAGATCCAACAAATCCCACTTAAATCTATTGGACAACTGTTTGGTAGAACATATTCAATGATTTTTTCCCCCCATGACTGCCAATTTCTTACCCTTCTATTGAGAGCTGTTTTACTTCCAAGCTTAGTCACATCTCCCAGGCTATTCTGTGAAATTCTTCGATCAATGTCTTCATGAAATCCTAAAAACATTTTCTGATTAAAATGCAATTCTAAGATACTATAGGTTATTAACTGTATTGAATTTTTTTTAATTCTGCCTTTTTATTCATAAAAAGCTCAAAGCAATATAAAAATACAGAAAATTTAAAAACTACATGTGAAAATAAATACATACTCTCTCTTTTTCTCTCTCCAGCTAATACTAATAATCTTATTTCTTATTCATAATTTTGCTAACATACCTGAACTATCTGTATATGGAACATCTCCATTCGTGGTTACAGCTACCATCAGCTTTTTAGCACCACTGAGTCCACGACTATTAAGAAATACAGGTAAATGAACTATATTCCTCATGTAATCATGTCCATTTATATTTGAATCTCTTAGTACACTGTTCAGATTCTGGTTAATTGCCTTGATAATGATATGGGGATCACTAGCAAAAATGGCAATAAATGGACCTTTAGAAAAAAGGACTCGGACCTGTGAAAAGAAAAAAAATATAATTAAACTGAGGGAGGGAGGGAGGGAGGAAGGATCACAACTAGTTCAGGGCACAATTATTATGTAGTACTTCTGGATGGAAGATGTCCCATTTCTGTTTTCTTCCGATTACATATTTTACTACTAGTATAATATATATCAAAAACTACACATTGTAGCACTGTAAACATTTAAATATTTCTTATGACATAAAACATCTGGCAGGCAATACATGTAAAACGCAGTTTTCATTACACCCAAGGGAATGCCTGGACAATGGAGCTTTTCTTGAACTGAATGCAGTCTCCATATTGTTCCCGAAATGGCTTAAGAAATGGCTCAAAGAACTATGGCATGGAGTGAGAAACAGGAAGCCCTCCACTAATCCATCATCACTATATTAATTTGCTATCATTTTAAAATTAGCATGTGTTTGTGTTTATAATCTATTTTATAAATTTCTAATTAGGAGTAATTCCACTGAATCTATTGAGAGGTTTACAACAAAAACATGCACAGAATTGAGCTGCAGGTCTCAGTGAAAGCAGTGAAACAAGTAGCTATAATTTGTTCCGCTGATTTAAGAATTAAACCAAATTATCAGAACATTTCCAATGCCTTGCCTCATAATCACATTTGAAAGGCAAATCAATTAAACACTTACTGTATCAAGCATCTGTAAAACTTTGTCCTGTTCACATGCATCTAATCCATCAATAATTACTACAAGCCTGGTTTGATTCTGAGTAAAGCTATCTATAGTTTTTGCCATTTTTGCCATCAGTTCCACTTCACATTTAAGAACCTACAAAAATAAAAATAATCTTAACATCAATCCTATAAACACATTAAAACAGGCAAACGTCTAATTTAAATGCCGTAGATATAGCTTTTTTCCCAATATTTAAAGTAGCAAAATCTTTTGAGTCATTTTACTCATAATGTTTAGTTATCTACTTCAGCAATCCCCAATTTATTTGGTACCAGGCACCAGTTTCACGGAAAACAATTTTTCCACAGACCTGGGTGGGGGGGTGGGGTGGGGGGAGATAGTTTTGGTTTCATTCACTCACCTGCTGCTCACCGCCAGCTGTGCCGCCTGGTTCCTAATAGCCCACGGACCAGTACTGGCCTGTGGCTCGGGGTTGGGGATCCCTGATTTTATTGATAAACTGCTTTATTCTTATGCATCCCCATAATCAATTACAAGTTTAACTAAACTCAGAAAGTACAAAACAGATTCAGGAACATTCCAGAGAGTCTTAGAACATTCTATTTCCCTTCCATTCCAGGAAAGCTTGTCACATAATTTCCAGAACTGAATCCTCCAAATCAGAAGTAGTTCAAAGTATACTGAGAGTAGTCTGCCTCTGAAATGAGCCTGTTTCCTTCAGAAAAATATACGCAGAATGCTTTAAACCACTTCCAGTTTGGGGAATTTACTTCTGAAAAACTACCTTACTATTCTCATAATAGCATGATCTAAAGGGAAACCAAATGTTCTGCCATTCTCTGGAACATATCATTCCTAAATTGTGTGTACTACAGGTCCTTAAATAAAACTCATACAATTCAAATCAGCTATATTATATAATACTTACTTTCATAAATCCCTCACTCTTCAGCTTGTGTAGTTTTGAAGCAGCACTGTGAAGTCGTTTTCTCTGTGAATTTAAGATGGAGTCCATCACTTGCCACCACGTGCGACAGTTCAAGATAAAGCTTAAACCCACAACACATAAAAATGAAATCAGAATAGCATTCACTGTCATGTTTTCAGGATTCATTTTGAAATAGGCTATAAGAGTGATCCCAGCAACAACGCAGCTCAGAATAAAGAGGAAGATAACGAAAGATGGGAGACAACAAGTTTTCTTCCATTTCTTTTTACCTAGGAGACAAAACAGCAATTGATAAACACATATATTATATACAATAGATAAATTTTACATCATTTATATTCTACCTTCTTGCTTCCTAGGCACTCAAGTTAACTAGCTAAAAATTTAAAAACTCACAAAACAATAATTATTGCTAATCAAATTAAAAACCGTGACTAAATATAAAGTTTTAAACCCTTTCCTGAAAACAGAAAGAACAGGGGTTGAATTTTATTCCCGTAAGTTGGATATGATAGAAGGCCTACTTCTGGTTGCCTAATAAGTGAAGCTCATTAAAGTTAGGATAATTTTAAGTGAAACTGTCCTGTTGCCATTTATATCCAAGCGGGTTCACATATAAAAACCAGGTTTAAATGAATGCAACCCTAATAATAAGACAATCCTCCATTCCCAGAAAGACAGGAAATAAGACTGAGAATACAGATAGTCACTAAGGGATAGGATCGTAAGGCAAAATGTCACCTGACTATACCAATTTATGATAGCATTTCTGGCAGTCCTAGTCCCATCATTTGGTAAACCTCATGCAACTACAGCAACCCACAATCACATGATCACTTTTTGTGACCTCCTGCCAGCTTCCCCACTTGACTTTGCTTGTCAGAACATAATTGCAAGTTGACTGCCAAGTGCTCAAATTGCGATTATGTGACTGTGCGGATGCTGCGATGGCTGCAACTATAAGTACCCCTTTATTCAGCACCACTGTAACTTCAAATGGTCACTGAATGAGTGGACATTAAATTAGTGTACAACTCCAGTGCACTGTTCAACTAAAAACAAAGCTGGAAGTATTTCCTCTAATATATGAATGCAATACATTTTGATATACATGTTTAAGGTAAGTATTCATAGACAGCTATTAAACTGAGATGAATTGTTTTAGGCCAAATTACTGCATGGAAATTAATAGAGATCAGGAGACTGACCTATTGTTTTCCCGCAGAATGTTAATGGCTAGAAGCCCTTGTAAAAGCCCAACACAAGCTATGCATAAATATTTTGAAGTAAACAACACTGCGGTTCTTACTCTCGGATTCTTATTTTGAACTTTTCTAGAATCCCTTATCTGTGTAGAGAATATCTACACAAGAGCATTTTGTATTCCTTTTACTTAGGGGATCTAAAGTCCCGTCCCCCTCAAGTCGTGGAAATTTTGCAACTCTGTTTCCCACTTGGCCTCCCTCTAAGTCATTTAGGATTTTATAGATATAATAGTCTCTATGATAAAACTTGACGTGAAACCAAAAAAACGAACAATACAAATCAAGAAAGTTCAGAATCACATAAACCAAGATAATTTTAAGTCTCAACAGTATTGCAAATTTAGTTAGCTAGAAAGATTATAACATTAAATATGTAATTGCTTGTGATGAGTGATCTCTATGCCTATATAACACCCTTCTAGAAGAGCTATTCTAGTGCACACTTTTATGCTTTCTAGGAAACAGGTCAGTAGATACAGAAAATAGCTGACGGCGTTACAATTCTACAGATATAAAACTGTAGCCATGAAAACCAGCTGGGTGACCTTGAGCCACTTCTCTCTCTCAGACCAACCCATCTCACAAGGTTGTTGTTGTGGAGAAAACAGAAGGAGAAAGTTGTGTTGGGCATGTTCACCATCTTGAGTTATTTGTAAAAATGGCAAAACAGGATACAAATAAATAAATAAATAAAAATACAAAAGGTAATGAAATACGCGTTATCGCTTCATATAGTGTTAACATCATTTTGTTTTGAATGCAATTGCATGGCAAATATGAGCAGAATAACCATTATTTATATGCCCTAGTTTTGCATTTTAACCTGAAATAACACTGCCTATCAATATTACTTGTTTCTTAGATTATATTCCGCATTTCCTTACAAGAGCTCAAGACAATTCACAAAAATTTTTAGCAGCAGTCCTGTGAATCCGGTGGCACCCAATGGAACAAAGCCACCAAGTAGGTTTCCCTAGCCAAGACTGGCCTTAAGACTGGGTCTTCCCAATCCTAATCCAACATCTTCCTCACTTCACATTGCATAATGTGAAATGCATAAAGAAAAGTGCATTTCAGGGTGGGGGGAGGGGGACTGTGCTGCTATCACTGTAAAACAGAAAAGCTCAGTTCAACAACTTCACACATACCTTGAGTTTCTTCAGTTTTGAATACTCGAAAAAGACGTGTTGCTAAAAACCCAAATTCTCTCTCACAGGCATCTGAAAGGGTGGCAATCATTTCAGCCATTGAGGTTTCTCCACCTACGCTGGACAATCTATTGTAATCTGTAAAGAGAAACCTTAAACAACAAACAATTATAGGTTATTATTGGTTGCTACAAATAAGAGTTTTTCCTTTTATTAGGACATTTTTAAATTGCTGAGCTTTCATTATTAATCTCATGATTTTCATTTTATTTTATTATTAAAATGATAAATTCATTCATTCATTCCCCTGCTAGTTATACAATTATTGAGAGTACTCTTCATAACTATACAAGATATTTAAAACAAAATATAGAAATAATTTTGATTACATATTTAATCAAAATGCCATCTTTGTAGAGGTTGAGTCAGATAAGCATATTATTCTGTACAGAATGGAAACCTTACAGCAAATTCAGTAGTTATTGGTAGCTTTTCAATCTTCTTAAGAATACATTTCTGTATTGGTTACCAATAAAACTAAATGATAATTTTATTACAAGCCTGATTGACACTGTGATACCAAAGAGTTTTCTGTAAAATTTATTGTGAGCTAATAATCTTAATGTATTTGTATTTCTCCCTCCTGCGAAGCAGAATTTTCAAGGCACCTAACAATAAAATTCAAATAAAGTATTAACTTTTGAAATTGTCTCACAAATAAAATGTAGATTAGACATTTTATCATGTTCCATTATTTTATTATATTTTATTATATTTCATTATGTTTTATTGATTTTTTTAGTGATAATAAAATTCTGAAACTAAAAACTAAAACTTATCAATAATAAAATTACCGACTAGTTCTAATTGTAATTTAGTAACAAATTACATTGAACATCAAATAATTACCTGAATTATGTTTGTAAGTTGTGATAGTAGTTAAGTGGGTCCTCACATATGATCACACCCAATTTTACTTTTTTGTGGAAATCATTAAGCAAACACGGGGCAGTAAAGCAAACGTGGTCATTAAGCAAATTGTTAGCTATGGGGCATTTTCTGCCAGAAATCAAGAAATAAATGCTGGTTTCCAACAAAAACATTGAAAATCACGGTTGCATGACTGGGACACTGCAAATGGCAGATCGGAACTTTGAATCCAGCTCATAAGTACCTTTTTCAGGAAGTGACTAGTTATAAATCAAGGACTATCTGTATGGGAGAATTATAAATAGAGCTTGGAAACAGTACATCATTTCACAGTGAGTAACAGATTCCATGTAGTGAGAAAAAATCAATACCGCACTTTGGTTGTAGCATTCAGGCCACCTGCAATTTCTATCACAAGATTTACAAACCATCTTACAGAGCATAATATAAACACAATACAGATAAGGTATCCATCACTGTGCTCACATCTGAAATACCCATAAAGAAGCACAATGGCAAGCTAGTATATGTAGTCCTGGCCTCTGCTGAAATCTAGGTTTAGAGACAATTTGAAGAGTATCCCAAAACTGTAAAACCGAGTTCTTGTTGAATCCCTGTTCTTTGACATGTCTCCTGACTGGTTAAAATGTTCCATCTCATCTAGGTTAAACTATAGTTTGTTTGCCCATCCTGCCCATTATTGGTATCAGATACTCTTGATTTTTGGAAAACATTAAAATGTGCATGTTCTAGAAAATCTTAGAAACAAACCCATAAAGAAAGGTGAGGCTTCCTGCAATGAGTTTTTCTTGTGTATGACATACGATATTCTGCAAATGTGGATTTTAGTTTTATGGATTGCTGATTGTTTTCTACTCTTTTTACTGTAGTGTAGAGAATAAGGTAAACCACTCAGTCTCTTCAGACTTAAGAGGGATATAAACCTTAATACATAAATGAAATAAATTTAGAACTCAGTCCACTTTCTTAGATTTAAAAAGAAAGTGGGAGAAAGAACCTATCAGTGGCACTGAGCTCCAGGCAAGCTGCATCAGTACATGTATGTATTAAATGTATGGGAATAAAATAGAATCTTGAGAGACACAATAGCAGAATGATATAGTATCAAACTATTGAAATAACTAGTGCTGTTATAAAACAATGCACCCCCAAGAAATTAATCCAATGTTGATGGACTATTAAACATTACTTATTAAAAGTTACTTCAGAACGAATAGACCTAACATGGAAAATGACAAATTTTCTACATAATGCAGCCATTTATGAAATTTCAAGTAAAACATCAGAGTCCACAGCTAATACAATAATACAGTTTAAAAGAATATCAGCTAACATTCTTTTAAAGATTGCAGCTCAGAATTAAAGCTCTTACAACATACAGCCATAATAAAGCTCTTACAACATTAAACCTTTTAAAAGCCATTAAAAGCCAAACATTATTATAAATTGTTCTAACCTGACAGGTAAGGCTTTAGTAGTTTGCTCTGGCAGCTCAGGTGGGTTCACAAACATGAGTTTAAGAAGTAATTCCATGTAGCCAATATGTCTTGCCAATCTTGTACTAAGCACCCATGCCCAATTCCAATTTTCTCCTTCTCTTCGGCTCCCAAAATATATTACAGCTAAAACAAGATGGTTTAGATATTTTAAATGTTAATAGCATTTATAGAAAGTATTGCAAGATGTTATGTAATACAACTTAGCCTACATCACTGCTATACAATCATATATATATTCTCATTCAGTCCCACAGCATTTTTAGGAGATAAAACAGAAGGAATTCAGTTTGTTAAATGTTTTCTTATGATACATACAGATCAACAAGCACAGTGGGTTTTTAACATATTATAGCTAATTAATAAGACACTTGCAATCTATCTTACATATAATTTGCATGTCCATAACCAACCTTGCTTCCTCTGCCTCCCTAACTTCCTGGCTTATACCTATTTAAATACTAGATCAGTCTAGTCACTGTCTGCATCTGATGAAATGAATTCCAATTCACCAAAGTTTATGCTTTTTAATACAATGTGTTAGCTGGAAAAGGTACTATCAAATTCTTTCAATTTTATTTTTTTTGCTACCACAAACTAACACAGCTCTCCTCTATGTCTACCCAATATATCCTTTTGCATTTATAGATGGTCCTTGATTTACAATCAGTCATTTATTAACCATTCAAAGGTTGGAAAGGATGCTTGGATACAACAGCTTGGAAAGGATGCTTTAGTACACATAAAGCACTGCCCATTATAAAATTGCACCACGCCCTCGCCCCTACAGTCACATGATCGCAATCTTGGTACTTGGCAACCTGTTCACTCTGTGATCATGTGATGCCATTTGCAAACTTCTCTGCCAGCTTCCCCAGAATGTCACTGGGGAAGCCAGAGGGGAAGGTTGCAAGCTGTTGCCACCTGCCGTGGTGCTGAGATTTCATGTGGCAGACAGCTCTTTGAGAGTGACAATCTGCTTAACTACCACAACTGAGAGAGCCAGGTTTGCAGGCAGTGAGCAAAACTGTCACATGGGCAACTTGCTTAATGACTACTTCACTCAAACAACAAGAGATCCTAAGTGGAGGACTACCTGTTTGTAATTTCTGTTTTAAAAAACTCATTTTAACTCCGGAGAAGTTTGGCAAACACAATAAGGATTATGTACATTTTGGTGCAAGTGAATCATTATCTACAATGTCGTTAACTGCACTGAAAAACAGCACTGAATAATCAACAGCTGTCAATATATAATCTTTGAGCATAGTACAGTAGTCCTCGACTTATCACCACAATTGAACCCAACATTTCTGTTGTTAACTGAGACATTTAAGTGAATTTTGCCCCATTTTACAACTTTTCGTGCCAAAGGTGTTAAGTGAATCACTACAGCCGATAAGTTAGTAACATGGTTGTTAAGTGAATCTGGCTTCACCACTGACTTTGCTTGTCAAAAGGTTGCAAAACATGATCACATGACCTTGGGGCACAGCCAAGCATCTGAATTCTGATCACATGAGCATGGGGATGCTACAAAGGTCCTAAGTATGAAAAATGGTCATAAGTCATTTTTGTCAGTGCCGTTGTACCTGGTCACTAAATGTACTGTTGTAAGTTGAAGATAACCTGTACAGACGTTTATTGCTTTATGCTCCCTGAAAGACTCATATACTGTAGAGTGAATTCACACAAAGTGAAACATTGAACCAGTGGGAAAACTGGGGTATGCTGTCAACTTTGGTAACTTAAATGCATTAACAAATGCACTCACAAATGTTTCAAATCTTACTCTTCAGCCCTATGTTACTGAACTATATTTTATTCCTTGTTTCATGCTTTAGGTACAGTGAAAGCATTTTCTCCATCTTATCTACAACTGTATTTCTAATGTGTATGGTTATCATGACAGATAAAGAAACAGAAGAATCATACAGGTCCTGAATCCAATTTAGGAAATATATAAAACCTAATTATTGTAAATATACTAAGTTATCTTAATATATCACTCATGCTTGAAACAAACATATATCAGTAAAATTCCCTGCTGTTTTTTTTCTATCATACGATGTATTTTACAGACAGTTTTGATGTGGGGGATAGATGACATAGATATAATTTCTATACATACTGTTTTCTAGAAAGGATTTCCACAAGATTACAGACCTTTCAACTAGTGACAATGTTATAATTTTAAATAATGTGATTGGACTTTTGCTTCATTTGTGCATTAAATAAAGTATTAGCTTAATTTTAAATGCAGTAAGTTAAACGTTAATTTCACTTAAAAGAAAACTTACTGAAAAATACATATAGCAGTGCCAATAAGCTCAGCGCCACTGCTATTCCAAGTTTTTCATCTACAGTAAATGCAAGCAACAAGCCAAGGCCGCCACACAATGAAAGTGAAAGGAACACAATAAGCCAGGAAAATTGGAACAAAGGTTCAATCTGCTGTCCTGCAAATGTTTTCATTTCATCTAAAAAGAGAGAAATAATTTTTAGTCAACATAAAATTTTCAAGATAGATGCTATTTTCCTTAAAAAATAAAGGTGATTAGCTTGTTATTGTTGAGGTCTTATGGAAATCAAAGTGAATTTTCCATAGAACTATAGGGTTGGAAGGGACTTTGGTCTAGACCAGGGGTGTCAAACTCGCAACGTCACATGACATGTGATGACGTATCACGACTTTTTTTCCATTGCCGGCAATGGGGTGGGTGCGGTTTCGGCATGACGCATCCGGCCCGCAGGCCGGCAGTTTGACACCGCTGGTCTAGACCAACCTTCCATCCTGTATAGGACTCCTCAGACCATCCCAGAAAAATGACTATCCAATCATGTCTTGAAAACCTCCAATGACTGAATACCCAGACTTCAGGTAGCAAGCTGTACTGTTTAATAGCTTTCACTCAGCCAAAGAGATTTTATGGATGAAAAAAATTAAAAGTACAAGAAAAAGAGATACAAATAAATGGTTGGTTTTTCACAATAGAACCGCAGAAATATTTGTATTCGGATTCATGCTTTCATATTTGTTCATCAGTTTTCTAGAAATTACCACAGACAACAAGGTGACAAAATTTAGTAATGACAATAATTTAAATAAAAGGAAAGTATCTAAAATAAGCCCTCTAGACCTGCAAAAAGACCATTTTATACGAAATATCAAAGCAAAGGCACAGCAGAACAAAGAATCCCAACCACACATGTAGCATTTCACTTGAGTTGATAAAGTATCATGTACCTCTGATGAACAAAGTAATAAAAATGTGCAATATACAGCTGTTTTAAAAATCAGATAAAAGGGAAGGAAAATACAATTGCCAGTAATATTCTACTATAAAAATGTGCAATATAACCACACATAATTCTATTTAACACATCTAATAAAAAAGCATAAACAAGGCATAAACAATTCTCCCTGAGGAAAACTTAAAGCATGTGAATAAATGCATACATAAAAAGCAAAGTTTTTTTTATTTTCTCTATCTACAAAAGATAGATTTATCCAATAATCGTGAACAGAGGAAAATGATTTTTTTCAAATAGCAGTTTTGAATTTATATTAGATATAATGATGCTCTCCAATATTCATGTTCTTGTTTACTTTAAATCAAATGAACAGGACAAAATCTAGAAAGATATGATTGTAATTTCCTAGTTACTTAATGTTTTGGATTACCATTAAAATTGTTTATTCTTTTAAATAATTATTTGAAATTGTTGTTTTTCGTTTTTTAATTCACTGTTTGCCACCCACAGTTGCAAGATCTGAACTGGATGGCTGTATATATTATTTAAATAAATACATTTTTAAATAAATAAAAATCAAGTCACCTCAGTGAGATGGCCAGCAAATTAATATAATAATAACAACAACAACAACAACAACATAACAACGAGAATAACAACAACAACAACAATAATAATAATATATTCAAATTGAATATTTACCTTCAAGTTTCTTTAGCAAGAAAGATTTGCCACTTCCCCACTGGGCATATAGCCCAACACAAATCGGCGGCTGCATTGTTGGTTCACTAAGAATATCAGCTAATGCACTGCTGTAAAGATCATAACCCAGCATATCTCCATCTGATTCAGTAGGAGACAAGTGCCCTGCAATACAAACAAACTTGTAAAATCATCTGCTTTTTTTGCCTTGTTCTTTATTCACTAATACCAAATCATAGCCAGCCAGCCAGCCAGCTTAAGTAACTATTCTATAAAGACAAATGCAATAGTCACATGTTTATTTTCCACTCCCATATCAAGAATAAGAAAACAGATCAATCTAAGAGGTCATTCTTCTTTCACCCCCGGTTACTCTACACCAGAAATGGCAAGCTGATTATGTGAAAACCCTCATCAACCCCCCAGTTAGCATGGCTAATAGCAAAGAAATTTGAAAGATATACCCCAAAATATTTAGAGGTCATCAACCTATGGCTACTGAATCCTCTCTTAGTAGTCAGGTTTTTACTTGGTGCTAAAAGGTAGAAAATATCTGAACTAATCTAGTTTCCAAGAGAAAGACATTCCAAAGCTGGAGTGCCAGAATACAGAAAACCTTCTTGCTATTTAAATCATGGAGGAAAATTCATAATGTTATACATACACCACCCAGAGTTGCCTTGTGTGTGATGGGTGGTCATATAAATGTGATAATAACAAATGACATTACAGATGATCTAAGAGCACTCAAACACAAATTTTTAGAAACCAAACTAAAAAAGCTAGCATGTCTAAACAAAGCTAAATTAATATTTCTTTATTTTAAATTGGTTTAGCATGATAGGAATGATTTTGGCTTCCTCCATCCAAGAAGCCTGGAAGAGTTTGTAGACTTTCGGATTTACAAACTACTGTTTGGATCTACAAAGTATGGATTTGAAATCAGAAAAGTACTTTGTAAATCCAAACTACTTCTGTATCTATAAACTGTACTGATAGACATTAAACACAATTTTAAGTCCAGGCAACACGCCATGTATTTTTAATTTAAAAAGCAGATTAAAACCTGTTTAAAATCCTCCAACACATAGAGGAAGAAAGATATGCACAAGAGCAGGAAGAGGCTAGACTATTTTAACATATTTTTAAAACAGCATTTATCATTACGCTAAAAAAAATAGCTACTGCTGGGCTGACATTTTTGCATATTTAATCATTAAATGTTTTTTCAGCATTCCAGAAACATATTTTCCAAAGTATCAGAAATATTTATATTTTAAAAAATCCTAAATACTTACTAGCACCAAAGATTTGAGTTAAAATACTTTTCTGATGGCTGCAATCAATGTTGTAAGGGGTTTCACCAGCTTTATTAGGCCTATAAAGTAGCCTGCCATCTTTAGGATTTCGTAAAAGCAATTCTGCAAGCCTACGACTTCTGCCACGAATAGCAATATGAAGTGGAGTGTCTCCTTTCTGTAAGAGTTGTTGTAAGTTAATAGATGCAAAAGCATATGAGAGCTATACAGAGATTTAAAGACAAAATGCCATTTGGAGCACAGTGGACATGATGTATACCTGTCAAGAATATCTTATAGCAACTGCATCTTCTCTACAGCTATTTTGTTAAAGTGTTCCTGAAAAGTGTCAAACGCCAATCATATTTTTTTTCTTGAATCTGGATTTCTTTCTATAGTTTTACTTGCATAGCTCATATATTCAAAAGCTCAAGTTATGCTTCTCCCATTCCTTTATTCCTTACAAAAGTAATTTAACTTATTTTCTTTAAATGATTTGATTTCTCACATTGTTATATTCTTACCAAATGAGAAAAGTTTACAAAGTCATTTTTTAAGCAGATCACATTTTTCTCTTCATCAAAAGTATTGAGGGTCACCCCTCCACCACTATTTTACTTTTAACTTTTCACATTGCTCAACAATTAGACTTTACCTTATCTACAGCAGAAACTTTTGCTCCTTTGTCCAGCAGAAGCTCTACGATTTCAATATTTCTCATTTTGGTTGCCTTTATAAGAGGTGTTTCACCATCCTAAAAGTTAAAACAGAAAGAGGTTGAAGAACAGATAAAGAACATTTAGCCTAAACATTTTTAAAAGCCAAATTATGTTTCATGACAAAAGCCTTTTCCAGCAAAAAGTTTTGAAATGCATTATTTTAGCCATATTATTTTACTAGCTTTTAATTATATCAACAACTGTTGCACTACGTATATGTTTTAATCACTGCAAGTATGTAAACCAGCTGAAATTAGTTCTTGATTAATTTGATTATGTGCTATCAAGTTGGTGTCAACTCTTAGTGACCACTTAGAGCATCCCAAAAGTGGCCATTCGAATTATCCAACAGTACTCCCATGCCACTGTAATTGAACCCATCTACTTTACTTCTGATCATTCTCTTATCTTCTATCTTTCCCAGAATTATGAACATCTCCAGAGTTAGTCTTCACATAATGTATGCAAACTACGATAATTTGATCCTGTCATTTGCATTGTGAATGACATTCCTAGACATGTTCAACGATCCATTTTTTCCTGTAATTTTTTAGTTTAAAAATATCAAACTCTTTAAATCCTGCTTCCACAAAGTATTACAAGAAAAATCATTGTCTATAAAATTCTGAGCTCAATAATAAAATTTTCTATTTTTATTATTATCTATAAGCTCTGCCTACATTTTCTTTAAAATTCAACTTCACTATATTTTCATTTCTGTTCTGTATCTCTAATACAATTTTTGATTACTAGCTTCTATATTTCTGTTATCTTAATCTCCCCGTATATCTCTATGTCATGCTCTATAGAACTATCCATCTTTTTCTACAGTTTGATTTATCTTTTATCTTTTTTATTTTCTGTTTTCTATTTCTGTTAAAGTCTTTTCTTTTTCTTGCTGGGCTTCTTGATTTTTCTCTTTCAAATCTTTGCTCTATCTGAGCAAAATGGCTCCAAGAACTTTAATCTCTCGCCAGTCTGAGGGAAGGAAATAAACACCTCTATCCTCAGTTTTCTCAACTGCTGCCTCATTTCCTGGTGCCTCTTCCCATCAGGGCTATCTAGCTTTTAGTTTGCTTCTTTATTTGTGGTTCTGTTTATTTAGTCTTCATGAGGCCTGTGGCTGCAGAGCTCTCAGGTAGCCATCTTCTTTTCCCTCCTTCTTCTCTTTGCCCAACACTTCTGTCTGATTGGCAGTTGGACCATCCTCACAATGGAGAGGGTCAAGAAGGAAGAGAGAAGATGCTTTTAATCTGCTCAGACAGTCTTGCCCTCTACAATCCTCAATAAATTATTTGATTTTATTCCAGTTTCCTTCATTTTCCATCAATGAAATTCACTGTGATTTCTGGACTTCAAAGTAATTTCTATTGTTCTCCCTAAAAATGCTGAGTATGCACTCAAGATCACATTGTGGAAGCTATTTAGCTATTTAGCTATTTTTTATTATTTTTATTTATTTATTTATTTATGTATTTATTTTGCTTTAACTTGACTTGGAACTTGCATGTAAGAAGTTTGTCATTTATTCCACAGTTAGGCTCTGGACAGTTAGGTTGTTATAACCAAGTTCTTCCATTTCCATTCTACTTTGCAGCTTCTCTTTTGAAATACCATTCTCTAATCACAAGCAACGTATCTTACTTGTATGTTCTGTTTATTTCAAACTGAACTTGACCCTAAAACTCGTCAATCTCCTTTTCCTCTGCATCAGTGGATTCATGAATTAGGAAAAACTGCCATATTAAAGTCTAACTGATATTATTGGATCACTGACTGCATTTTATCAAAATACTATCATCACTATATCCTTCCCAATTAATTAAGTATAGGCCAACACTGGGAGGCCTACAATTAAGAATAAAAAAAAATCACAGAAGACAAGAAATCATATCAAAACAACATATAAACCATAAACCCCATCATTCTATCCCAAAGCCTGGTAGACCTGACTAACAGCTCCCAAGGTGGGAGTCACACTGAACTGGCTTAGTTTTGGTAGTTAAGTCTAAGTGCTTGCAATCACGAGAATAAATACATTTTATTTTACTGTTACTGGTATATATATATTTAATAAATACATATCATACTTCTAAGAAAACCAGTGCCGGTTATTGCTATTTAAACAGAAATATTATTAAATAAGGTTCACATTTATTATTAAATAAGGTTTATTAGTGAAGTTCAAGAACTATATATATTTTTAAAAAACAATAACATTATAGACCAAAATCATCCATTATAAAGCTTTTTCAGGCTTAGAAACCATGAATTATATACTTACCTTTGTACATATTTCAGTGTCTGGATTACACTGCAAAATATCTCTTACCATGGTAGCATTTCCCTTTTCAACAGCCCAATATAAAGCTGTTTTATTATCCTATAAATTAATAACATATATGATTAATATTTTAAAAGTCAGCTGGATTAACTTCATAAGCCAAATGTATCTTATATGTGTATTGTTTAAATACAAATAACTCAGTGGTTTTATTCAGGATGGAAATGTATATGTAAGTAGTCTGCCTACAAATTAGAATATTGTTATTACTATACATATACTTATTGTTATATTTAAGCAATAAGTTTATCAGAGTATCTCATAATCAGGTTTTCAAACCCATACTTCATTAAAATAAATTGCATGCTACTATTTTTCTGCATCCAACTAAAACATACTGTTCACATACAATGATGTAACTACAGGTAGTCCTCAATTTACAACCACAATTTAGCCCAAAATTTTTGTTGCTAAGCAAGGCATTTGTTAAATGAATTTTGCCCCATTCTACAACCTTTCTTGCCACAGTTGTTAAAATCTGTTTTTTCCATTGACTTTGCTTGTCAGAAGGTCGCAAAAGGTGATCACATGACCCTGGGACACTGCAACTGTCATAAATATGAACCATTTTCCAAGCATCTGAATTTTGATCATGTCACCATAGGAATGCTAAAATGGCTGTAAGTGTGAAAAATGGTCATGCCACTTTTTCCAGTGCCGTTGTAACTTTGAATGGTCAGTAAATGAACAGTTGTAATTCGAGGACTATCTGTAGCTCACAGCAGTAGCTAAGTGTCAAAACAACTGCAGGTAGTCCTCAATTTATGACCACAATTGAGATCATAATTTCTGTTGCTAAGCAAGGCAGTTAAGTCAGTTGTGGCCAATTTTTTGACCTTTTTTTTTTACTATAGTAATCAATGCAATTGTGAATCACATGGTTGTTAAGCAAATCTGGCTTACCCAATTGACTTCGCTTGTCAGAAGCCAGCTGGGAACGAAGCAAAAAGTAATCATATAACCCTGGGACACTACAACCATCATAAATACATGCCAGTTGCCAAGCATCTGAAATTTGTTCATGTGATCATGGGGTTGCTGCGACAATCTAAGTGGTGAGGACCAGTTGCAAGTCATTTTTTTCAGTGCCATTGTAGCTTTGGTCACTAAATTAATGGTTGTAAGTCGAGTTCTACCCCGTACACTGTAGATAAAAGATGAAACTATCTGTTCTACATTCTAATGTAGAAACAATCTGCAGTAAAGTTTAACAAATATACTTGCAAGAGTCAAACATTGGGATTTGCTATGAGTATTTTTTTCCAGAATGTCACTATTATCTGAGAATATGTCTCCTATCTACAAGGGATGCTTCTGCCTTCTCCAAATGACACATTAAGAAGCATATAACTAAACAGAGAATTACTTACCTGACCTCTGATGTCTATATCAGCGTATTTATGAAGCAATGCTCTCACAATTTCAACGTGACCACCTCTGACCGCCCCAATCAGCACAGTATCTCCACTCTGAAATTGGCATACAACAAATATTCCCAAATTAACTTTCAATGTGTTGTAGCACACATAAATAAGGCAACACTTCTATGCAATGCAAACACATACTCACTCGATCAGGAATATTCACATAAGTTCCTGCATCTAGGAGATCCTGCACAATTTCTATGTGTCCCTCCTTTGAAGCAATCATCAAAGCTGTATTTCCATCTTTATCTGTTAAGTTCACATTTGGATTTCTTTTCAGGATTTCCTTCACTGAATCTGTAAAGCCACCTTTGACTGCTACAATAAGAGCAGTCATAGAATTCTGTGAGAGAATAAAATACACTTACTAGCACGAATCAGTAGATTTTCTCTTAATGTACTCATTTCTTCAATACAAAATGTAAATGTATTGCATATTTTCCTACTGCTTTTTTCCCAAATGCTTCATTTTGATGAGGTAGCAATAACAAGAAATTCCACATTTCTAGAAACATCTGCACTTTACAGTAATTCACTCATCTGTATAATTGCCAGTAAGATTATATTTCTCCTTCAAAAATTTACCCAGTGTGTTATATGATTTTCTCTCTTTCTCTCTCTCATTTTTTAAAATTTCCAGCTGGGAGAAGAAGATATTATTGTATCAGTAACTAGCAAATGGGATCAAGGGTCTGGGGGCTTGTTCCTCTCTCTATCTCATCTTCCTCCTTTCCATCCCTTGCCCCAGCATCTAGTTTTTTGTTTTTTTTTAATGCCTCCATTGCTGGGAACACCCAAGGACTTTTTAAACTTCTTTCCCTCTCCATTTTTTAAATTTCTAATTATATTAACAATTATAATAAAAACTAATGCAAAGTAAAAAAATAAAAGAAACTGGAAAGTGCAGAAAACAAAAAAGAGAAAAAATAGAAAAAAACTCATTTACTGTATGCTGGGCATAGAGAAAGCAAAAGCAGCTGATCTTTCAGCCGAACTGAGACAGCAATTCTTCTCATGCTTCCTTATAGGAAGAGTACTATGAGCCTGTGTTTGACATGGACAGCAAAGCCTCCACTACTCAGTTCTTGGCATTTACTTCCCTGTGTGTTGCATGATGTCTAGATTCATTTGGATAACTGAGGGAACTTATAAACTGAATACAATTAATAAATGTCATTTGCTTTTGATTAGAAATATATTTTAACTAATATTTTTTTCAAAATAAAAGTTATACTCACAGCTCCTTCCTGATCTACATCTGCTCCCATCTGCAACAAATACTTTACACAGTCCAGATGTCCTTTTCTTGCTGCCCATACCAATGGTGTAGTACCATACTGGTAGAAAAAAAAATACATATTTTATACCTCTGAAACCTATAGTTTGATTGCTAAAAGCTGCTTCAAATAGAGATGACAAATATCAAAAAAAATTATAACGGGTTAGTGGGCAGAGATGAAATATTGCTATTAAGAGCAGGATTTTAGGAGGAAGATTAAAAAATCTTTACATGATGTAAAAATGTAGCATACAATCTCATTAGTACCAAAATGCTTATAAGTTAAAAGAACTACAAATTTGACACTCTAGCAGCATAGAGATAGTATATACCTATAATATATATTAGATAGATAGATAGATAGATAGATAGATAGATAGATAGATAGATAGATAGATAGATAGATAGATAGATAGATAGAATATTAGATAGATAGATAGATAGATAGATAGATAGATAGATAGATAGATAGATAGATAGATAGATAGATAGATAGATAGATAGATAGATAGATATAGACAGATATGAGAGAGAGAGAGCGAGAGAGAGAGAGAGAGAGAGAGAGAGAGAAAGAAAGAAAGAAAGAAAGAAAGAAAGAAAGAAAGAAAGAAAGAAAGAAAGAAAGAAAGAAAGAAAGAAAGAAAAAAAGAATGAATGAATGAATGAATGAATGAATGAATTTAGGATTTTTCAAAAGTTGCCAAAAAGCTTTATATCACAACTAATTCAATATTCTTAAAATGGATAAAAAAAAATAATGAAATACGCCTAAAGGACAACGCCCACTGGCATTTAGAGAAATGTAAAGATTAGCTTAAACCAAATAATACCACTCTAATAAATGTTTATATACTAGGGTCTGGACACAAATAGTTCACAGTGTTTTGTAAAGAATTTAAAAATGGTTCCGTATTTTAAATTTTAAAATATACTGCACTCCACTGGGTCATGGTAAAAAATGAAGTGTTGAAGTTTTATTCAATGGTTCACACTAAACATTTTTAAATATAACTTTACCATGAATTATTAATTCGTGAACTGATAGTTCAAGGTACAAAAATTTAACGCACGGTAATTTTCACTTTTTAACAAAATTAAATTCCAGCCTTAAGCAAATGCTTTCATTTTACCTTGTCAGAGCAGTTGACTTTAGCTCCGTGGTGCAGCAACACTTGCACTATACGAGAATGGCCTCGACCTGCTGCCCAAATTATTGGATACACACTATATTGCTTAAAGAAAAACAATTGAAAACGGTAAGAATAAAATGTTATCGGCTCACCCCAGTTATCAAGTATGAATCAATCCAGTATATTAGAAATAAAATGAAAAATAAAGTGATTTCTTCTTAACAAAAGTTCACTTAATCATGATAGCTGATATTAGAAAAAAAAGAATAGAAATATATTTTCATCAATAATAGCAATTAAATAACAATATTCTATCTCTATTGACAGAATTTAATTTGTACAAGTTTTTCAAGCACAGCTACAAAATACAGTTAACAGTCTATATGGAACAAGAACTTCTGAGCATGGAAGCAACTTCTCTTCTGCGTAATCAACATTCCTTTTAATGTTGAAAGCAGCAAAACATGGCAGAGTGTGCCTTTTTTTTATATGATTGACAATTTCTATTATGAGGGGTCTTCGGTGCTTTCTGAACTTGGTTGTTTTCTTGTAAACATTTCATTACCCAAACACCATCATCTACCAATATTCACTTTTATCGGTAATTTCTATTATCTTGAATTAATTCTGCAGGTAACTAGCTACCGTATTTATCGGCGTATAACACGCACAGGCGTATAACACGCACCTTCATTTTAAGAGGGAAATTTCAGGAAAAAAACTTAAAGGTGGGGCCGGGCGGCGGAGCGCTTATATCGGCGTATAACACGCACACATCATTTGCCCCCTATTTTCAGGGGGGAAAAGTGCGTGTTATACGCCAATAAATACGGTATATAATGTTCAATTAAAATTATTGTTTTAAAGTGCAATGAGACATTTGTAAAAGCATTACAGGTAGCCCTTGTTAACAACTGCCTCAATTAGCAATCATTCATGTTTACAATGGTGAGGAAAAGGAACTTTATGACCAATCCTTGCATTTTCAACCTTCACAGGCCTGTAAAGCAAAGGAAAACTGAAGCAAGATCATAAGCACAGTTGCAATTTCACTTAGCAATCACTTTGCTTAATGACAGAGTTGCCAGTCCCAATTGTAGTCATTAAACAAGGACCACCTACAGTATAGTCGTTTAGGGGGTAATATTAATTTTACACAAACTAAAAAGGACTAATGCTAGACTAATAGCCAACAGAAGAATTTCTACCTCACATTCTATAATTATCTAAATAATATTATTTAAGATAATTCCAAATACAAACTGATATAATGTTAATGTTTGACTGCAAAAAGGGAAAAAGAAAACTTACTATACCAGTGATGTTTGGATTTGCTCCTCTTTCAAGAAGCAGTTCAACTACTTCAGTACAACCTTTGTAGCATGCCCACATAAGGGCTGTCCAACCACCCTAAAACCATAAAACAGAAAATCATAATGTTCCTACAATTAAACAAAGAACTAAGCTACATAATTTGCTGAATTAATCTTCAAGACACCAATATATATTCATTTCCAAAGGAACACAAAAAGTGTTGTGTTGCAACGAAAACAAAGTCTAAGGACCTTAAAGAATAATAAATGTCGCAGCATGTAAGATTTGGGATCCATTTAATCTGAAGCACAGAGCATTACCTGCACTTATGATATCTATATAAATACAACTCCACATATAAACATGCAAATGTATGCACACACACAACTTCCACCCAATCAACTTCAGTTTAGGCCTTTCTACACACTGTGATATTTTTTTTTACACACACTGATAGTAAATAAGGGAGAAAGGAAATACATGTAATAATAAGGCAAAAGAAAGAGAAATGCAAAAAGTATAGGTGTTATTTATATAAAATCTGCCCATCTCACAACAGAATTCTAGGTGGCTTATAACACTAAGTAGTACTGTAAATACCACCTTTTTGATGGGGTTATTCACTGAACAGTTACTGTTGGACCGTGTACTTGTTAATTTCCTTTAAAGTTCCCTTACTCAAAAGTGTGTTCTGAGAAGTTAAAATGTTCCCAGTTTTTAAATAAACCACTTTTTATATCAGACTTGCATTCTGTTATTTTTTTTCGATCTAATGCATTCTATTATGTAAAACATCTATATGAATTTCTGGCATTACACTCCGAGAAAGACAATCACCAAACACTATTTATAACATACTCAAATTCAGTTCTAACATCATAATTAAAAAGAACTAAATAGTAAACAGGTAAATTCTCAAGTTAGGACAGCAATTGAGACCGGGACTGCCATCATTAACCGTGCAGTTGGAAAGTGCAATGTCACGAGTGCATCGCTTAGCAATGACAATCCCAGCAGTCCCAGCTGTCATAGCAACCTTAAGCGTATTCAATGGAAAGCAGCAGGAATCCCAGTAAGAAGCATACAAATGCTACAGAGAGTTGGGGAGGCCAGAGGGAGGGACTGAAAAGGCCAGGGCATGAGTTGGGAGGAAGGCTTGGAAGGAGGCCTGGTGCAGGTTTGCCTGAGTGCAGGATATAAATCTAACAAATAAAGATACTGGGGAAGTAATTGTTTGATCTGATTATGAAAGTAAAAAATATACCTACCATGTCTCGATGTTCTATATTCACATTGCATGCGAGGAGTTCTGATACAATATCAGTATGCCCCTCTTTAGCTGCAGAGATAAGAGCTGTCCAGTTATCCTAAAGTAAGGCAAAGAAGGAAAATGTCGTAGTTTTAGAAGTACTTAAGAACAGGTTTTTATATTTATTTAATTTATTACATTTATATAGCTGCTCATGTACCAGAAAGAACTTTCAGCTAGCTGTAAACAAAATAAAAACACAACACACCTTTTCTTTAAAAAAAAAAAAAAAGCAATGTTGAGACCTTAACAATAATTACTAAATTTGTATGCTACCTGACTTGTCAATGACTCTGGACAGCTCACAACAATCAAAGAAAGTACTATAAAATCAATAAAAAAAAATAAAGACTAAAAAAAAAAAGGTAAAACTTGCATTCATCTGCCTGCCAGCTCCATTAACAACTTGGCCACAATGCCTGAGGGAAAAAAAGTTCTTTCTGAAGGGCAACAGGGTTGCAATCATTCATATCTCCAAGACAAGGGCTCTTCCATAAGGCCAAGGCCATGACAGAGAAGGCGCACTTCTGAGGACCCATCAGATAACATTGCTTCACTGAGGGGACCCAGGACAGGCAGAAGCCACCAATCCAGATTGTTCTAGCTGAATTAATTCCCTTAAACTATTAAGCTTTAACAATGAACAATTCGCAGACGTGATGTCATACTTTATTACTGTAAGAACAAATAATAGGATAGAATGGCACAGTCTTATCTGTATATTGTGTGTTCACAGGCCTGACTTCAAGATACATACAGACGGATAGCAAATTAAATGTGCTGGAGGAGAAATAAAGGATGAGGCAAGATAAGCTTCTTAGTACTTACTGAATCTTCCAAGTTACAATTGGCGCCTTTCTTTATCAGTTCTTGGACAATTTCTAAATTGCCTTGCTCTGCAGCTAGCATTAAAGGAGTCTGACTATTCTGCAATCATAAAAAAAAAGCCATACATGTAGGAAAAAGCTAATTAAGAGGATATGTAACAATTCTTATAGCAGAATGCCATGTAGTATTAGACATTGAAGCATATCTCCTAAAACAGTACCCAAAAAACCACAAATGAGGTATTCCTCATTTAATAACTCCAATTGGAACCAGCAACTTTGTCACTAAGCAAAGTTAAGCCAAACATCAGATGACCGTACTCACTTACAATGGCAGATCCAGCAGGCCTGGTTGTGGCTGTCAAGCAAGAGATCAGGTGATCGTGACTTACAACCTCCTGCAGGATTCGTCACTGACTTTGCTTGTCGGAAGCCGGCTGAGAAGATCACAAATGGTGAACATATGACCACACCAGGGATAGGCAATCTTGGCTCTTTTATGACTCGTGGACTTCAACTCCCAGAATTCCTGAGCCAGCATGGCTGGCTCAGGAATTCTGGGAGTTGAAGTCCACGAGTCATAAAAGAGCCAAGGTTGCCTATCCCTGGACCACATGATGTTGCACAATGGTTGCTAAGCGCTTAAATTGTGATTATATGACTGCAGGGACATCACAACAGTTAATAAGCATGAAGACTGGTCATAAATCATTTTTTTCAGTGCCATTGTGACTTCAAATATTTGCCAAATAAGTGGTTATTAAGTGAGGAGTGTCTGTTATCTGAATTCAATAAAAACATTAACAGAAACAAGTTTAGGCAATATAATATCTTGTAAAAAGGTCATATCTGTGAATCCTAGGATCCTGTTTTGAAATTCTATTTCATCTTATAGAACAGGGCAGCAACTATTTATTGATTGTAAAAAAATCTTGTTAAATGTTTCATAATTTAAACATTAATCCCCTTATATTAAAGCCTTAAAACATAAATATATAATTTCTAGCCCATCAAATCAAGAGACTCCAGACCGCTTACAGTAGTGTACAAGCAAACAAAAATAAATAATTTATTAAATTAAAATTATAACCTGAATTAAAGTAACAAAAACTGAAAGAAAGCCAACAGAAGCATTCAAACCCAAGGAAGCAATGACACACCGTGGTCTCTTTCTAAAGCTCAGAGGTGAGAGGGAACCAGCCACACTTGTTCCATAACACAAGGGTGGCTTCTTCCTCACCCCCATCCCATCCCATCCCCTTCATATTTTGGAAGGCACAGGTATAAATTACCCCTTTCTTGGCCAATTGCACAGGGCGGATATTACTGTACATGGATCAGGTAATCAAAAATAAGTTTGACCCAGACCATGTAGGGTTTTATAGGTCATACCTAACACTCTGAATTGGACCTAGAAGCAAGCAGGCATCAAGGCAATGTCATTGGTATAATTCTGCTAAGATGGCTCTTGTCCATCAGCAATCACATTAGCAAAATCAGTGGGGAAAGCCAAATTCACTTAACAAATACATGGCTCCCTTATTGACTGTGGTGATTCATTAACCACAGCAAAAAGGTTGTAAAGTTGAGTATGACTCATTTAATGACTACCTCACTTAACAGAAGTTCTGGTCAGAATTGTGGTTGTAAGCCAAAGACTACCAGTATTCATAGTACTGAGAATCCTGCATATATTCTTAGAGTATACAAGCTGAAACATAAACCTGATTTCACTGCAGGAAGTTATCCCAACTATCTTACATGAATTTTCCCAAATGAAATCCAAGTAAGAGCCAATGTGAGTCACTAGCACACTAAGTCTCTTTTTCATCTATTGACTCCTCAGTAAACCAAGCAACAGACCAGGATTAACTAACATAGAGGGGCTACTTGGAGATTGCAGGCTAGTCTTGTGGTAGAATTATCTTTCATAAGGCACCTAAGATTCCCTGCCTCTGCAGAGGCTGGCAAAGGGGATAAGCTACAGACTAGCCAAAAAGTAATCTGACCATGTCAACATCCCACATTTAAAGATGACAAATTAATTGCTCTAAAATGTCAAACAGAATGAATATCAGAGAGATGCCATGCTCCCACAAGTTCTGAAGTATTTCTTCTGGATAGTTTTCAAAGTGTTTACTTCACAGTTTATCATACCTCGTCCCTCTCATCCACATCTTTGCACTTTTCAAGAAATGCTTTCAAAGCTGGAACATTTTCTTCTTCCACATAAGTCACCAAACTCTGAGACATCAGATTAGCCATCCTTAGCAGTTAAGGTTCCACAATGCCAGTTATCTACAAAGGAACCATTTTAATGTGTCAGTAACATACTGAAAGGGGCAGATGACAAAATGACTTCATGCCTATCACTAGAAAAAATTATTTCAATTATATCCGTATACAGATAATGTTCAAGGTACTCAGTTTTTTAGTGTCATAATAAAAAAAATGAATTACAAACAAAATGTTCTGCACATTTCAAACTTTTATTTGGTAATTTAGTTTGATACAGCAATAGCAAATTCTCTTTAAAATGTCTTACTTTATACCATAGCTTTATTTTACATCTGACGCCAAATATATAAATATTTCCTTTAACCGTGTATTTACCAGTACTGCAGTATTTTGGATTGTCATAGCTCAAAAATATACACCAGAAGAGAACACTTAGAAAAAAAAAGTTCAACTAAGGCCTTTCTCAAAATATGACAATACAAGTTACAACAGAGGTCTTCTGTTACTATTTGAAACAACAAATAAACCTATGCATACCACAACCGATGTGCAATCCCCTCATGCTTTTAAGAGTTTGCCTCTAGTGTCTCTAGCAGAAATGCTGGCTGTGTTTCCAACTTTTTACTTCCAGCATGGCTGTCCAGTCTCTTCTTAAAAACTTCCAGTGTTGGAGCATTCACAGCTTCTGGAGGCAAGTTGTTCCACTGATTAATTGTTCTGTCAGGAAATTTCTCCTCAGTTCTAGGTTGCTTCTCTCTTTGATTAGTTTCCATCCATTGCTTCTTGTCCTGCCTTCAGGTGCTTTGGAGAATAGCTTGACTCTCTCTTCTTTGTGGCATTAAACTAGACATACCCAATTCCAGGAACTGTTGTTTTAGCCTCCAGTCCCCTAATCATCTTTCTTGCTCTTCTCTGTATTCTTTCTAGAATCTCAACATCTTTTTTACATCGTGGTGACCAAAACTGGATGCAGTATTCCAAGTGTGGCCTTACCAAGGCATTGTAAAGTGGTAGTAACACTTCCACGTGATCTTGATTCTATCTCTCTGTTAATGCAGCCTAGAACTGTGTTGGCTTTTTTTTGGCAGCTGCAGCACACTGCTGGCTCATATTTAAGAGATTGTCCACTAGGACTCCAAGATCCCTCTCACAGTTACTACTGCTGAGCAAAGTACCACCTACACTATACCTGTGCATTTTCTTGCCTAAATGTAGAACCTTACTTTTTTCACCATTGAATTTCATTTTGTTAGATAACGTCCAATATTCAAGTCTGTCAAGAGCCTTCTGTATCTTAAGCCTATCTTCTGGAGTGTTGGCTATTCCTGCCAGCTTGGTATCATCTGCAAATTTGATGAGTTTCCCATCTATCCCCTCAACCAAATCAGTGATGAAGATGTTGAAGAGCACTGGGCCCAGAACAGAGCCCTAGGCTCCCCCACTACACACTTCCCTCCATGTAGATACAGTTCAGTTGAGGACCACACGTTGAGTACGGTCAGGTCAGGATGATAGGTCTGTGGTTTCCTGGATTCATTTTTTCCCCTTTTTTGAAGCTCTTTTCCAGTCCTCTGGTAGTTCCCAGTGCTCCAGGATCTTTGAAAGATATAGTTCAATGGTTCTGAGATCACATCTGTCAGTTCCTTCAGAACCTTGGATTGTAATCCATCTGGTCCTGGTGATTTGAACTTGTCTAGGATGGACAGGTGCTCACTTACCATTTTCTTGCCTATCTTAATTTGTGTTTCTAATCTGTTTTTTACAGTACTGTTTTTGATAGGTTGGACTGTTTTTTCCCCTTTGTGTAAAGACGGATGCAAAAAATGAGTTAAGTAGTTCTGCTTTCTCCCTGTTGCTTGTCACCTTCTTGCCACTTTCCCCCACTAATGGACCAATCATTTCCTTAACTTTTTTCTTATTTTTTACATGTTGAAAGCTTTTTTTGTTATTTTTTACTTTTGTTGCAAGCCTTAGTTCATTTTGAGCCTTAGCTTTCCTCACTTCATCTTTGCAGGCTCGGGCTATTTGCTGATATTCTGCCTTAGTTATATGCCCCTCTTTTCACTTTTTATACTTGTCCTTTTTGTCTTTCAATTTATCAGAGAGTTCTTTATTGAGCCATGCTGGTTTCTTTTGAAAGTTGTTATTTTTCTTCTTTGTTAGTATTGTGCTAGACTGGGCTTTTATAATCTCCACTTTTCAAAAATTTCCAAGTTTCTTGAGTTGTTTTCCCCTTGAGGATTCTCATCCATGAAATCCTTCCCAAATTCTCTCTAAATTTATTGAACTTAGCTCTCTTAAAGTCCAAGACTCTAGTTTGAATAAGTTCTATCGCTTATGCTTGCATAATGTTGAATTCCAATATTGCAAGGTTCCTGTGGCTTCAACACCTTCTATCATTTCATCTCTGTTTCTATCATTTCATCTGTGTCGACATAGAAATTCTCCGGATTTGCATACTGTGAGGAAGCAAATGATTTCTGGACCTGTTATTATACAGATTACTTGCAGTAAGACAATCTCACAGAATGTACACAGAAGTGAGTGGTTAGATTTCCATTTAATTTTAATGTAATGAATGCTAATATAACTCTTTGAAAAATCAGTTCTGAGTGAGAAGTTCAAAATAATAAAAAAGGAACTGAACAAAATATTTCCTGCAGGTCAGCAGACAGTACTTCCTAAAAACATGGATGACTATCAAATCTGCAAATATGGCAAATTAATGAAGCTGAAAAAAATACATTCCTTTGTTACTCATATTAATTCAAATAATTCCTATAAGTACTTCCTCAATGATGCTACACAGATATGTTCATGAAGTCCCCAGAAAATTAACTCAATTGAAATTATTATTTTTTAAAAAATAATGTGTCAGTGTAAGGTAGTGGTTAACGTCTTAGGACTGACACTAAGGAGACTCAGATTCCAGTCCACCCTTAATGGAGGAAGTTCATTGGGTATCTTAAGAACAGATATAGTTTCAGTCTAATCCATCTCACAATACAAGAGGAAATACTATATACACTGCCTTGAGCTCCTGAATGAAAAGGATAATAATTCTTTATTAAAAAGTCAACACAAACAAAAACTAATTTCTAAACTTTTCTAGAAGAGTCATATTGCAATAAACACAACAGACTGAATCCAGAACTCTGATAATTTCACTGCTACTAAAGTTGAAAGGGGTTAATAGCAATTTTCTAGATTCTCTGGAAAAAAGCTTATTTTATCCATTTTTGAAATATTTTTATATTCTAAAAATGAGAAAATGGAACAGTATACAGTGTTTCTGTATGACTTTTAGTGATAACTTTAAATGGAAATGGAATGCATTCCTATATAGACAAAGATTGGATTAATTTTATATGCTACATGGGCCTTATTTTTTATTCTTTTCTTCGTTTACATCTTTTATTTTAATCATTATAATGTACGTCATTTTAAACTGCACAAATCATAACCTTCAGATTCTTCCTTTCTCTCAAGCTGGGGACACCAGAGAAGTATTGTATAGAAAATAGCCTGGATCACTGGCAACAATGCACATCTAGGTATCATAAAGATTTACAAAAAGCTACTAAACCTAAGCCTACTAAAAAAATCAAATATAAAATTATAAGCAAACAACAAAGCACATATGACATCTTTTATAATTGTTTATAAAAAGAACTCTTTTTACTCAAGAACTTTTAACATACTGCAAGTAACAGACCATAGCTTAAGTCTTGTTGTTTTGCAAGAAGATTCTTGTGATCCAACTTACAATTAAGAAAAATGCATATATATATTTTTTATAGTTTGGGAACAAGCTGTATCATGTAGTCATATCCCTCTATAATACTCTATGGATGCCACATCCTGGAGTTTGACAGTCAAAAACAAAAGCTACATATGCTATAGCATTATTTTACTGATTACCTGTCAGGCAGGACAAAAATAGAGGAGGATATATAAGGAAAATCAATTCTTAAACTCGCTAGAAATGTTAAAGCACAGGTTACTGAACAGTTTTAGGACAAGTGTTGAACGAACTGTAGCTTTCATTCTATATTCAAAAGTTGTCAACATATGTTTAGTTCACGTTTCTAGAAAGAAACGCCTTCCCATTCCTGAGAAAAACGTTAGGAAAATGGCAGATAAAAATAAAAGAGGTGTGTGTGTCCCTATCAGTATTCAGTTCTGTTGTTGATCAGTGCAGTCTGTGAACTATTTGAAAGCATGTGACCTTCAGAAAAAAGATACAGTCCATCTCTACTATAACCTCAGTGAAAATCTACAACAGGATTAAACATTTATTTAGCAGGACTCATAAAGTGAATTCTGTACTTTTTAGGATTTGCTAGATGTGCACACTTAAAGTGCTATTTTTAGGAGTTCAATTTCTGGCCAAGACAAAGCTCATGATTTTCCTATCATTGCTTTATGACATAAAGTCTAGACATCATTTGATGGCTAAACTCATAAACTATTTTCTTCTCAATTTCATTTTTTTCATACACGAAGCATTAATCAGCTGCATCCAAATATCAACCTTTCCATACTACCATTTCCAGAATGAATGTAACAATGTAAAAGCTTACACACAAAACCTGTCCAGTTATTTAACATTATTATTTAAACAATAAGAGTGTCTTTGCATAAAATGTTAACTTATAGAATCAAGAGGTAAAGATGTTTTTATATGACAAAATTTACTACTTAGTAAGAGACTTTAAGCCTGCAGAATGTTAAATAAGAAAAAGTCCATAGAATAGGCTACGTATAATTCACTCCTGAGTTTTAATAGTTGTCATTTTTCAATGTGTTCTTTATTTTTCTACAATGTATTAGTATTACCTACCTTCAGGAAATGTGGGGTAAAGTTTCCATAGAGAAATAGAATGTATTCCTATGTAGACAAATTTAATAACACAGCAGTTTTAAATAAGAATGCTTAAGATTAGAGCAACTCTATCCGTATAACCCAAGATAAGCAATGGCCTGACAACATAGACCAGTCATGTCAAACTCGCAACGTCATGTGACATATCGGAACTTTTTCCCCATTGCCG